TAAAAATAAATACTTAATAAATATAAAGTAGGTGAGTAAATATGCACAGCAGTAGTTAAAATGTTTTTGAAGAGATTCGTTCAAAACCTCTGGACAAAAGTCATTAATTAACTTCTGTTTTGTTTAAATTGATAGATATTAATAGACAAATTTTTATATTTATAGGCATTTAATTATGGACTTTGTTACATGTAATTGTTTTTTATTGATTTTTGAAAAAAATAATATCACCTGCCCACCAAGCCTTCATTTCTTTGATCCAAGAAAAAAACTGTAATATTGTGACCATATTATTATTATTATTATTATTTTAACAACTATTTTCTATTTTAATATATTTTAAGATGCAATTTAAAAGTATTGGGTAAAAAATAAATAATAAAGTGAAATGCTTTATTGTGTGTGATTTGCATGTTTAATATATTTTAAGACATGTAAGCTGAAGATCTAAAATAAGTTAAAATGGTTGGTTCAACTGATTTAATTGTCTTATTTTTATATATAAATGAGCTTAAATGTTAAGTTAACAGAACTAAGATTTGTTTTGATCTCACATGGCCTGCACTGTGTTGGATTTACTTAAAAAGTATGACGCAAAAATGGTGCATATATCTTTTAAGTAACCCGTAATCATTTAATTAAGTAAATTTTTAACTTGGAATAATTTTACATAAAATAAACTTAAATATTTTAGTTCACGTGACATTCTTTACTTAAAAATATATGTAACGTGATGCATACATTTTTAAGTAAAGAATGTTGCGTGAACTCAAATAATTAAGTACATATAACAAAGATTTTCTTGTTAATTTTAGGTACAATTATTCCAAGTTGGGATTACTTAAAAAGTATGATGCAAAAATGGTGCATATATATTTTAAGTAAATTCAACACATCATTTTTTAGAGTGTAGAGATAAATGATGAGACAATATTCACATCCGAGAGAATCGTATGTCTCACACAGAGAAAAAGTGTAAAGAAATATGTTGTCCTAACTACTCACTAATCACACCTGTAGTTCAATAGGGTTCATGAACCAAAGATTAGAAGAGTTTAAGAGCACAAAATGATCTGATAAGTATATCTTCCGAAAGTCCCCCTGTAGCCAATCATTTTTCATCCCTTAAAACTCATCTCTGATCACCAAAATGACATATTTAAAAAATTTTTCCTTGAAAAAATTGCTTCATGCCTTAAAATATCTTGAATGTAACTCGACACCCTCGCCTCATTTAGTATACGTGTTTTCCATGAATATGCAAATGAGCCCCGCCTCCGCTGATCTGATTGGTTACAAGGTGGTTTGTGACGTCAGAAACACCAGCGATTTCACAGCGTGTTTTTGAGATACTCAGCAATGCTGTCCGCTTATCAACTTACACATGGTTTGTCTTAAAGCGTATTAAATACACCACATACACACATAAACAACATTAAACACTGGATTTACACCAGGGGGAGGGGGGGGGGACTTTAGTAAGTGCTCTTACTATCAGCCAGCATCCCAGTTATACTGAGAGCCTGTTTACACCTGCTCACTTCATGTGGCTGATCGGACAGCTATCTGATTTGCCTGATCCATCACCAAAAAAGCATTGAATCCAGTAACTGGGACCTGTAAATGGTTTTTCCCACGTTTTGGTCACATCTAAGACGCAATCCTGGAATACTGGAGTGGAAACCTTTGGCAAAGAAGATGTTTTGGGCAGAAAGTTCCCAACCAGTCATTTAATGTTGCAGCTCAGGCAAAACTCTGAAGATTCGATGGTACCAACCTTTGGCAAACCCAATTATTATTTCATCCTCAAAAGCGCTCCTGGTTCCTTGATCCCAGATGGACCAATAAAAAAACACTTGTGCCCTAATGCATGGAGTGCTTCTCAATACCCTAATGAAATTTCATCTTAATTAACATTTAACAACATACGGGCATACGGCTCCCTTGTGCGCAACTTCTTCCTCCACCTTGTTTCCTTCCCGTACATGCTGCCCTTGAATCTTAAGAGAGAGGAGCAAGGACGCAAGGAAAGGAAATGAGAATTCATCAATAATGAATTGTGAAGCACCCAGATACAGCACGAGCACTTTCCAAACAAGGACAAAGCAGCTGACATGAAAAGGCCAATGTGTCATTTATGTAAAAGAGGAATATAATGAAAACTGAATGAAATATGCATGTTGTTTGTGGTATATCTCTGTGTATGTAAAGCAGATTTCATTCAGCAACTCAGCAGAAATCATTCTATCCATTTAAGAGTGTTTCCACTATAAACTTCTGCATTTGCATGAGACACAATGAACATCTATAGCATGACAAATACAGCAAATCTTTTGACGACAGCAGTAATACTGAGAGTGTCGAATGCTTACGGAGTAAACCACAGGGCTGTTCATTTACAGGTGGCCTGAAAACACAAACTTTTGAAAAAAACTAACACCCTTATCTCTGTGTAAACTACAAAAACGCGAATCTGTGAAAAACGTTACGTCGTGCACATGAGCATTACTTATTTAGTCTATAGGCTTTTTTTTGGTGAAAATGGATACAGATATTAACAGTATTAACTTGTAATGTAAGATTTAAACATTTAGGGTGCTATCTTGCACTCAGCGCAATTGACTTTGTACACTGACTCGTGTATCATTCCTATTTTGCACCCGCGCAAAACAAACTTTTCCTTTCACTGACGCACGTCTGTAAATAGGGAATGAACTTGCGCTCCCTGGGCGGGTCGACGCAAAAAGGAGGCGTGTTTCGGCGCAAACGTTCCCTGGTGCTATTCTGCAGTTCCAGAAAACAATTGCGCCACTGACCAGAAAAAATTAGTCTAAAGTCAGCGGCGCGTTCATTCAGATGCTACTTTAAGCGCACATGCTTGGCCATAATACAGAGTGTGAACAACGCACACACACTGTAGATGATTCTCTCATCTACACAGATGCATTTTACTTTATGCAAATGATACATTATTATAAGGAAAAATGTTTAAACATGAGGGAAATCATTGTTGTGTCCATGACGATGTGGAAAATAGGCATAAAGCTTACACATTTACCCAAATTATTATAGGCTATGCATTTTTAAAGGGTAACTAAACCCCTGGTCAGAGCCTGACTCCACCCACTGGCAATATTTGGAAAATGCTGTAAAAGTGGGCGGAGCCCAGCGGAGGGGGGCGTGCACCTGAGACGCATCTCTTTGTATGGAACTTGCCTACGTCACCAACAACCGCTGTGTCACGTACCACCGCAAACATCCAATAGGAAAATTCAACTGCAGTAGCCAGCGTTCAACCTGAAGAGGGCAGCACTAAGACGCTTTTACACCATATATTGTAGAAATAGAACACTTTATAGACCAATGCCAAAAAAGTTACTCGAATCAATGACTGGTATTAATAAAGATCCATTCTTACAGATCATTAACTAAAAAAAGTTGGTTAAGTGTTTAGTTACTCTTTAACCAAAGCTAATTTGGGTGTGTTTGTCCATCCCCAATGTCACTTCTCTTTCTTTTACGGCCCTGACGAGAACATCGACCTCCTCGGCTGTGAACCGATTGTGAAGCGCGCCTGGTAAATGCGGCGTTATAATATAATTGCGCCATGGAACAAGCGCACCTCGTTCATCATGCTCTTAAAGGGAATGTGATATGACGCTCTTATTGGTTTATTTCACGTTATGCCCAAACCACACCTATAAATAATGAAGCTACTTCAGACCAACCCCTTTTAGGTTTGCGTTGGGCGCAAGAGGCATTTATCCCGCCGCTTAAATAGCAACAGCGCCCAAGACCCACCCACAAAGTTACTTGCACGTCGTGCTTGATATTTCCGTTTCACATTGTTAAAATAGGGCCCTTACTGTAAAGTTGCTGGTGTTGCAATGGAACGTTCTATTGGCTTTCACTTCTTGTCAATATACCGTACGTACGACCACGACAATGTAAAGAGTGACATTACGGTGCGATTTTAATCATGTGAATATTTTCTAGAAATAAAAAATCCAGATACAGCATATTCATTTTTCATTCATACTTGCACCAAACAACACAAGAAGATGACATTTAATAATAATAATAAAAGTAATTTAAGCTCCTTTTTATGTAGCCGAATCTGTGCTGGTTTGTATTGGCCGCCTCCAGTTTTCACTTTGTTTTGCCTCCAGCTAACGCCGTGACGTAACTGTGACGTCGCGCAAAAGGGGTCTATTGGAACCTACCAAAAGATTTGAAATTTGAACATGTTTGTTTTTAAATGTTAAAAGTCAGTTTAATTAATACAAATTATACGTTTTAACCATTTGGTGGAATTGACAGATGTTCCCTTAGGCTTTTTTCTGTTATGTTGTGAACTTATGTTTGCTTTTTGAATTGCGTTGTGTTGTGCACTACTGGGCCACCATACCTAAGAGTTACATTTTAAGGTCCCCCGAGGGCATTCAAGTAATAATGTACCTACATGTCAACTCACTTATCTAGAGTCAGCAGGCCATGGCTGCAAAATAAACCCTGAGAGGGTGATCAGAATTATTGCATTACTCCATATATTAAATAGAAAGAAAAAAGATGTTGTCACCTTCACATCCTCTCTCAATCTGTCCAACACAGGCCAGCGCTTCTGACATCAGGTCTGGCAAACGGCCGTTCAGATCCACAGATGCCAAACAGCCTTGAAATCCTTCCTTTGCGTGAACTAACTTGGGCAAATCTTTGTACATCTCCTCGGGAACACCACCAATATAAAGATCACCTGCAAAGAGCCAAAAAAGAGAGTGCACAATGTTCATAATTATATAGTTGAATATCATATATTCCCATCATCTCTCTCTCTCTGTTAAATTTAAAATGACATCAGTTCACAAAGGAACATAATATATTATCCATTTATTACTGTATAAAATTTATTTGTGGATCTAAAAAAATATTTATCGATAAAACCCTTTGTCACAGCGGCTGTAAGAATTGACAAGTTACAATAACACTACAGTGAAATCTACCTTTTAAGTCAAGGTTTTTGGCCCCCACGGTGGTCTGGGTGGTGATTTTGGTGTCGATTTTGACAGTGTGCAGGTTATTGGTGTCTCTGGAGATAATGACATTGTGCCACTGGTTGTCATTGAGAGGTTTGTTTGAGTTTCCTTTCATCAGATGAGCACCGTTTCCCAGATCTGAGATGTAATGCAGGTAGCTAAACAGAGATTTAAGATCCATTATCAGGTGCAAGGTGAATACAGTTTACCAATATGGAAAAGAAAAATCACAAACAAGATCTCTGTAATATCTCGATTGTTTATCTTAGATAGAGATGTAATTACATGGAGACATTTAGCTGAAGAAAAGTTTTACACATGAGATAAAGACCCTAAACTGACATGTTTGCTCGAGTCGAGAGTATCAGAAGAAATCTAAATAATCCCTCAAGTTGTCTGCAATGAAATGTCAGACATCTCAATAAGAACTTAAACATTTTTGTCAAATTCTTTCAGGATTGAATGATTTGAGCTAAGCTTTTACATTTGTAATGCACCTTATAATGCATTGTATGGTCTCATGAGTGATTGTGTTTTGGTAATAAGTAATGCACCTTTAGAAAGTATAATGCATTCAAACGCATGACAATCAACCAATCTCGGATGCAACATGGAATCTGCAAATATTATAATGCATTTTAACTTTGGTTATGAAAATGAAAATAATAATGCATTATAACGTACATTATGAGTAGCTTTATAATGCATTGGACATAAAGTCTTTATATAAAACATTTATGTTTCGTTCTGTTTAGTTTCAGTGTGTTTTAGTTTGGTTCTCCCTGTTTCTGTTTGCCTGTGTCCCTAGTTAGTCTCCATAGTTGTTAATTTAATTTACGCACATGTTCTGTTTTACGTCGATTACTCACCCTTGTATTTAAAACCCTCAGTTTCGTTTGTTCAGTTTTCCGATGTTGTTTATGGTTATGTGTTTCTGTGACTTCTCCAGTGCTTTCCTAAATGCTTATTCATTATCGTGCTTTCATTACAGCCACTCATACATAACAGAATATCGCACCAAGAATAGACTATTTTAGCTGTTTCTTTCTTTACACCCCCCACCACCTCTCACTTTAGATTTGTGGACCGTTCACCTCAGGTGTGCATCACAGAGCGAGTGGTCCACAAGGGGATTTCGTCACATTTGTTCAGTGGGTGCTGGCAAATATTGGATCTCCATCTGCCCCACTCCAGACCCAGAGCCCAGCCAGCCAATGCCCACACACTGCATGGAGCTAATGCCAGAGCCCACCACAGACTGAGACCCCGAGCCTACCGTGATGCACAAGCCAGTAAAGAGGACCGAGACCACCACCGCCCTAGAGCCGAGCCAAAGGAAAAGTCTGACCAGGTACGTGAGATGGCTACGTCGTCAGTACCAATGGGAGTGTATTGGAGCACAAGGTCATGGAATGGAGCCCTGCCCACACTCCTGATTCTGAAGGTGAGCTGCATAAGACCTCTGGGAATTATTACGAGGAATGTGAGGGGGTCTCCAATCCCTGCTGTTCCTGCCCAGGTCCAAGTCTCCTGTGTCTCTACTGGTCCTGCCCAGGTTCAAGTATCCTGAGTCTCTTCTGGTCCTGCCCAGGTCCAAGTCTCCTGTGTCTCTACTGCTCCGTCTCTACTTGTCCTGCCCAGGTCCAAGTATCCTGTGTCTCTACTGGTCCTGCCCAGATCCAAGTCTCCTGTGTCTCTACTGGTCCTGCCCAGGTTCAAGTATCCTGAGTCTCTTCTGGTCCTGCCCAGGTCCAAGTCTCCTGTGTCTCTACTGCTCCGTCTCTACTTGTCCTGCCCAGGTCCAAGTATCCTGTGTCTCTACTGGTCCTGCCCAGCTCCAAGTCTCCTGTGTCTCTTCTGGTCCTACCCAGTTCCAAGTCTCCTGTGTCTCTTCTGGTCCTACCCAGGTCCAAGTCTCCTGTGTCTCTACTGGTCCTGCCCAGGTCCAAGTCTCCTGTGTCTCTACTGGTCCTACCCAGCTCCAAGTCTCCTGTGTCTCTACTGGTCCTACCCAGCTCCAAGTCTCCTGTGTCTCTACTGGTCCTGCCCAGGTCCAAGTCTCCTGTGTCTCTACTGGTCCTGCCCAGGTCCAAGTCTCCTGTGTCTCTACTGGTCCTACCCAGCTCCAAGTCTCCTGTGTCTCTACTGGTCCTACCCAGCTCCAAGTCTCCTGTGTCTCTACTGGTCCTGCCCAGGTCCAAGTCTCCTGTGTCTCTACTGGTCCTGCCCAGGTCCAAGTCTCCTGTGTCTCTTCTGATCCTGCCCAGGTCCAAGTCTCCTGTGTCTCTACTGGTCCTGCCCAGGTTCAAGTATCCTGAGTCTCTTCTGGTCCTGCCCAGGTCCAAGTCTCCTGTGTCTCTACTGGTCCTGCCCAGTTCCAAGTCTCCTGTGTCTCTTCTGGTCCTACCCAGCTCCAAGTCTCCTGTGTCTCTACTGGTCCTGTCCAGGTCCAATTCTCCTGTGTCTCTACTGGTCCTGCCCAGGTCCAAGTCTCCTGTGTCTCTACTGGTCCTGCCCAGGTCCAAGTCTCCTGTGTCTCTTCTGATCCTGTCCAGCTCCAAGTCTCCTGTGTCTCTATTGGTCCGTCTCTACTGGTCCTTCCCAGGTCTAAGTCTCCTGTGTCTCTATTGGTCCTGCCCAGGTCCAAGTCTCCTGTGTCTCTTCTGGTCCTGCCCAGGTCCAAATCTCCTGTGTCTCTACTGGTCCTACCCAGCTCCAAGTCTCCTGTGTCTCTACTGGTCCTTCCCAGGTCTAAGTCTCCTGTGTCTCTATTGGTCCTGCCCAGGTCCAAGTCTCCTGTGTCTCTACTGGTCCTGCCCAGGTCCAAGTCTACTGTGTCTCTTCTGGTCCTGCCCAGCTCCAAGTCTCCTGTGTCTCTACTGGTCCTGCCCAGGTCCAAGTCTCCTGTGTCTCTACTGGTCCTGCCCAGGTCCAAGTCTACTGTGTCTCTACTGGTCCTGCCCAGGTCCAAGTCTCCTGTGTCTCTATTGGTCCTGCCCAGGTCCAAGTCTCCTGTGTCTCTACTGGTCCTGCCCAGGTCCAAGTCTACTGTGTCTCTTCTGGTCCTGCCCAGCTCCAAGTCTCCTGTGTCTCTACTGGTCCTGCCCAGGTCCAAGTCTCCTGTGTCTCTACTGGTCCTGCCCAGGTCCAAGTCTACTGTGTCTCTACTGGTCCTGCCCAGGTCCAAGTCTCCTGTGTCTCTATTGGTCCTGCCCAGGTCCAAGTCTCCTGTGTCTCTACTGGTCCTGCCCAGGTCCAAGTCTCCTGTGTCTCTACTGGTCCTGCCCAGGTCCAAGTCTACTGTGTCTCTACTGGTCCTGCCCAGGTCCAAGTTTCCTGTGTCTCTGCCAGTCCCGCACAGTGATCCCACCCAACCTCCCTCTCCCACCTTCCCTTCCAATAACTGCCAGTTCCTCTGCCCCAACTCTGCTGTTTGCCTAAAGTCCCTCGGCTTCTCCTCTGTTTGTTACACTCGGGCCTCTGGCTTTCCAGTCTCCAGCTCCACATCAGCACAAGATTCCTCTGGTTCCCCCCCATCAATCCTACCAGCTCTGCCTCAGTCCTCTGGCACCCTGACTCTACCTCAGCTGCTCATCGCTGCTGCCTGAACCTTCACCATCCTTAAGTCCCATCAGCTCTTGGCTCATGGCTCCTCCCTCCATCGAATCCACTATGGGCCATCATCCTGGCTGTGGTCTGGGTCCGAGCCTGGCTCCTCCTGCTTCTGACTTCTCTAGCACTCTCCTGCATGTTAGTTTGTTAAATAAAGACAGTTTCTGTTTATTCATCGTTGTGCATTCATTACAGCCACTCACAAGTGACACTTTAATTAAGTGTTATCATATTTTTCTATACACTGTCAGCTCAATATCTCTGTCTCAATGCCTCCTGACTTACTGAAGGGTAAATCTGTGAAAAATAAAATCACTGGTTCGGAATGAATATTTTCAATTCTGACACCTGTGCACATACACCTATAAAGACCTTCTTCTTTTTTTTTCATTTGCAAGGATTATAAAATATTTTGGAAAGGAATATGTTGAATGAATGATTGGATTGATAAATTAATTATTAATGCACATTTTCACTTAAACCATGTACAGCACTAAGAGTGTCAAACTGTAATGCTCATGTCTGTTTCTCCATAACGTACCCCTTAACCAGCTCTACAGCTATGAAATCATTTCCATCTCCACTATTAAACAGGATGAGTCCATCTGATGAAGTGGTCTTGAACTGGAAGAACAGGTGCATGGAGTAGTACGCCTGCAGGGTGCTCAGAGTCACATAGCTTGAGCAGGACTTGAAGGTCACTGGATCTGCAACGATGTTCTTAAATCCGATCACAGCGTTGACTTCACAGTAGTCGATGTCTCCATTCCTGCAGAGGTCGATGTATGGCTTGCCATTAAATGTCAAACTCTGGAGATGCCCAATGAAGTTGGATGGAATGACGGGCTGGTAACGTTTCTCTGTTATGATCCCCGTCTCTATGTTATGAAACTCCAGCTGTGTGTGGTCACCTGGTATCTCTCCTGTTTCAATGCAGAGTGTTGAGAAAAATTAAAGCTTTTATTTCATGTGGATCATAAAAAGGCCAACAAACTACAACTAGGACTATCATGATGATTAGTTTATCAACTTATCATGCAATATATGGACGCGACCTTGATCACTTTTGCGGACCTCAATAATCCCTATTGTAGAGCTTTTCACAGTTGAAATATTTAACACTTAATCACTGTAAACCCTGGGTTATCTAGCTTCATGTTTCACATTGCTTATGATTTACTCAGGGGTTAACAATAAATCCTGGATGTTCATTCGCTGCAGTTTCAAACTACATTCCTAAACCCAGGGTTAAAGTCCTTATTTGCAAATTTGCATATTTATTATAAGTGTGGGTAACACTTTATTTTGATGGTGCCTATTTAACATGCTCAATATCTGCTAACTCTTTATTAAAAGTCTCCCAAAAAACATTCTACTGACTATAAGTAACTTTGCAAGCGAGCATCAAAATAAGGTGAAACTCGTAGTGTGAAACGTTCCTTTACAAGGGGTTAAAAGAGGCTTTAGAATGCCAATAACCCGGTGTTAATCACAATGTGAAAAGCCTTTAAGTAGATATATAATATGTGTTTTCCAGAAAGAAAATTTGGAAGATTAAGTCCAAATGGACTTGATTTCGAAGCCTCATTCCATCCGCGTCATGATGAGACAATGAACCAACGTTAATTAAAATGTTCAAGAAAATATGATAAGAATAACATTGCTAGATTATTAGTAATGTACTGCCAATTTCTTTGAAAAAAAATAATAATAATCTAATATGACTTGCACAAGCAAACTAAATAGTCAAAATGTGTAACTCCCATTGTGACAGTGAGTATAAAGCAAATGAACAGGAGGAAACAGAATAGGATACCTTCCACAGTGGGCAAATCATCCACAGTCAGCTTCAGACTCTTCCCTCTCCGAATCACTCGCACTGTGTGCCATTCATTATCATTCAGATTCTGACCAGCAAACATGGTCTCAGGTCCTTTGCCTGTGGGACAGCCCATATCACAGTTAAACACACACTCATAAAGCACTGGGAAAAAAGAACAGAAACTCAAAATAGCACAGGTGGACAACACTGACTTTTAGTTATAATGATATCACCTTGGTAAAAATGACCCCAAAATATTAAACATGTAAAACAGTGCTGAGTTAATACCACACCGTCATACCGTCATACATCCCTGAAATCTTCATCAGTAATGATGATGATGAAATAAATCGCATATATGAGCCATCTTGCACAACTTTCTGGGATATGTAAGTAATAATAAGCGAGACTGCATTCACAAACTGCACACATGGAGTAGCTTATTGAATGAATGAATGATTTAATGAAAGAGGCATTTATATTGCACTTTAATATGTACCACTGTACACCCGAAGCGCTTTACACGTGGATAATGCGACGGCAGCCACAGAACAATGCCAGTGCGCTCGAGTGATCAAGCCAATTCAGTGGATGGGGATGATTGGCAAGGGCCAATGAGTGTTATGTTGCCTTTACGAGAAGTGCATTTTTAATGACCACTGAGAGTCAGGACCTCGATTTTACGTCTCATCCGAAGGACGGTGCTCCTTGAAAGTATAGTGTCTCCCTCACTATACTGGGGCGTTCGGAGCCACACAGACCACAGAGTGAGCGCCCCCTGCTGGTCTCACTAACACCTCTACCAGCAGCAATTATAACAAATGGAAAAACAAACCCAAATACTATGCACACATGAAACAGGTGATGAACGCAATCATTAACTATGGTATCAAATGGGTGGGAACATGGGGAACAAATAAAAAAGAAACAGAACACATAAAAACAGGCATTTACACTGCCACATCCGATATCTACGTTCACTATACACTTGGCAAAACAACCCGTGGTAGATGCACTGACCCAGAAAAGCGAGGGCTTGAGCCTTTCCCTTCCATTGCACCATTGAAAAGAGTCATGTGACCGCGGTTGGTGTCCACCTGTATAGGAATGATCGCTTCACCGAACAGATCTGTGTGTCACTGCACAACACCCTTGGCAACATACATGTAAACAATCTAATTTACTGTCAAAATTGTTTCATGTATAATGAATTTCAGCAAGTAACTTGTACCTTGTAAGTAGCCTTGATAAAAGTGACGTTGATATATGCATGTGTGTGGAAGCCGACGCAAAGTACAGAGGGATTACTATTTTAAAAGTTTTCTGTTTCAGGTGGGGTTGTCACAGAGTTAGCCACGTCGACGTTTTTATACACTCTTTGTTTTTTAGTTTGTTGGTTCTTTATTGCTGAAGTTCTGTCATTAATTTAGTTGAACCCCTGACTTATTTGAGAAAATAATTGGCAACAATAATACTCACAATAAACTCACTTAATTAGACCCCTTCTACATTCAATATGACGGAAAACTAGAATTCATTCAAATATGTATATTAGCAATGACTCCACAGTTCCAAGTGTCTCAAATGAACAAAACCTAGTTCACAAGGTTGTTCCACCACAAGGAAACAAAATGAGCTCAAGTCCCAAGATCAGCAGTAATTCCAACAGTTCAGTTCATATAGTTCAATAATCCACATAGTCGGTAAGGGAAAGAGTATATAAATACATTTCCCCAATCAAAAACAGTCAACAGTCAAAACAGTCATCCAGAACTGGCCTAGTGTACTCACGAATCCTTCTTCCTTGAAGAGTCCGGTCCACGTTTTACTGGAATTTCCCAGACGCGAGTACAGACCTTATGCACCAGAGAAACGTGGATGCCGTCATCTTTAGAATATTGTCTTTGAACTTCCGGTTCTGTATATTTCTATGGCATTGCTGTCCAGGAGTAATTAGCTGGTGTAGTGGATTTACTTATTGTAGAGTTAACAAAAGTTATCATAAGCATTGTAATGCAGATGTCTTAACAAATGTCGACCGGGAATTTTTTTACGAGCAGTTCATTCATTCAGTCAAAAGACAACGAGTGCAGAGCTAAAAAGGGGCGGGGCTACATAAGAGCCCCTAATCCATCAATTCCACCCAGATTTTAGAACTGCTCACTCATACTGTTGCAGAGTCTCAACGACCATCTGCTAATCCACCATGAAGAGGATACAATGCTTCACTTTTAATGATCCAGAGCGCGATTGACTAGATCGCAGCCGTAACACTCTTTTTACCCGTATAAAACAATAAATCAAGGGAGTCTTCAAGCGGAGCTCCGCGAGGTACTCACTGGCTGACTTCCAACCGCCGACCTCAACTTCCTTGAACGACGCACGTCATCCAGATGAAGGTAACTGGCTGGGCTCCACCTCGTCATCATCTTCGTCGCTATCGTATGACGACCGCAGATTCACATACTATATACATTGTTTTGATTTTTGTGGATAATGAACTCGGATTATATGATGAAAGATGACTGATAAATCTAGGATAAATAAACATTTAATTGCTTATTTTATGACGACATCGTCACAACAGCACCAATCATCACCCAATCACCAGAACCCGCCGACTCGTTCACAATCACTAGATAACTGACTCGGTGCACCCACAGCCTATATATTCACAGTTCACCATCCACTCTCGACGTGGTTACCATTGCTTACCATTAGCAACCTTACCATTCTACTTACCTGTAATCGTCTCGGCAAGTCTCCAGTCTTCTGACTGTCTTTGACCGTCCTGATCTAGATCTCCAGTCATCATGTTCACTTGTCACCTGCACAGAGAATCCACTTCAGTCATTGCCAGCTATGTCACCACCATTATTCAGCAAGTCACCATTCTCTCACCATCCACTTTAAGGAAGTCTTTGGTCAAACTGAATCAGTACTATCCGTTCGCAAGCAGCTCTGTCAAGGGAATACTTCCATCAATGCATATGCTCTTCAGTTCCACACTTTAGCCGCATCTAGAGGGTGGAATGAGACGGGCCTTTCGACGGGGTCTCAACCCGGAAGTGCACCAACAGATGGTCATTTGTGACGGCACTTATATCTGTACTGTGGGGGAGAAGGTCACATCATCACAAACTGCCCAATTCGAGCACCACGCCCAACGGGGAGTACCATCTAGTTCCTGCCTAAGGTCGCACCAATCACTTACACACCTGTCCAAATTCTCACCTATTAACTTCTCGTTTCCGTGCAAGCGTTTGACTCCGGTCCCTCAGGAAACTTCATCTCTCATCAACTTCTCCAAACACTCAACCTGCAGAAGAAACACTTCTCCCTGACACTAACCATCCACACCATTCTCTGCAAACCGCTGGGCAGTGGTCACATTGGTCATTTCTCCTCCACAGTAGCGCTCCACATTGACTTTCTGCATGAGGAGAAGATCACGTGCATGGTGCTGGAAGGATCAACCGCTGACCTCATCCTGGGATGCCCCTGGATGAACCAACATGAACCCACATCAAATGCTCCAGGATATGTTCTGTAAGCGGTTGGTGACCCGTCTACCACCTCATCGGCCATGGGACTGCGCTATCGACCTGCTGCCTGGGGTCACTTCACAGAAAGGTAAGGTCTACCCAGTTTCAATCCCGGAGCAGAAGGCCATGGAGGACAACTACGTTTCATCAGACCCCTGCCGCTTCCAGCTTCAGCAAGAAGGACTGAGGCTTGCGGCCGTGGATCGACTACTGTGCATTCAACTCTCAGACCGTCAAATTCAGTTACCATCTTCCTCTGTTCCCTGCCACGTTGGAACAGCTCCGTGGGACTCGCATCTTCTCCAAACTTGACCTGTGGAGTGCCTACAACCTCATTCGAATACGCAAGGGGGATGAATGGAAGATGCCGTTCATCGCCATGACAGGCAACTACCAGTAGCAGGTGATGCTGTATGGCCTGTCCAACTCCCCTGCCATATTCCAGAGGTATAGGAATGAGATTTTCCGGGAATACCTCCAACGCATCGTCATCATCTACATTGACGACATTCGGATCTACTTCCTGAACCTGGCTGGAATTTCCCCAACACGTGACACAGGTCCTCAAAAAGCTGAGAGAACAACACCTCTTATTATATCTCAAGTTGTTTATAGCTATATTTATAAACTGCTAATTAATGTATATTAATGCTTTATATATGATGAATTAACGGTTTACTAATGCTCAACTAATGATTAATAGCGTGCAGTTATTATAAAATGTTACCTCATATTTTGCAAAACTTTATTAACAATATGGGGCGATCCACATTTTCACTGTTATATGGTAGGTGGCACTATAAAGCATTTTTAAAAGAGTACAGAATCTCTCAAACAAAACAGGAGGAGAAGAAGCAGAAACAATGATAGAAGCATTGCTGAAATAAAAAATAATACAAATCAAACATTCAACAGAACATAAATTTAAACTGACTAATGTCACTCAATGAAATTTTGAACCCATGAAGAGGAAATGACTGTAAAGCTTTGGGGATGTTGATAGACTCGATTTGTGTTTTGATCATCGTTCTGAATTCCATCCGGATGAAGTCTTTGACAAAAACATGTTCAGAATGTTTTATTTTATTTTTACCCATATTTGTGTTGATGAAAAATTAAAAAAAAAATAATGCATAAAGCTAGATATAATGTTTTTGTTCTGTTCTTTCTTTTGATTTTTTGTATGTTCAGATAGTCACACAACAACAATCTTTCACTGTAATCTATTGCACAGGTTAAAGGAGTATTTGATAAATGGAAGCTATGAAAGAAGAGAAAGTGTCACTTACTCGTGGTACAGTTTATCCTCTCACAGTCTAGATAGGGAAGAATAAAATACATGTAAATTCTGCCTTCAAAGTAACATCTGCAGACATAGAAGCACATAACCCACTTCTCTGGGGACAGACACACAAGAACACCAATGACCCTGATGCTCACGCATGCCATCCTCCCAAATACACTCCAGTGACATTGAAGTCTACTGGAAATATTGTCCAAACTATACCTCTGAATGGGAATATTTCCCTCTTTTCATTTTTGTATTGCCACTTTCCACAAATAGGGTACAAAATATTGTGTCACTCCCTGTCTAGCCTCTGCTCTTATAATGTTTGAAGATTTGCATTTGTAGCACTCTCATGTTATTACATCCTCGGGATGAATGTCTTGGTTACTGTGATAATCCTCGTTCCCTGATGGAGGGAATGGAGATGTTATGTGAGATATTATGCACTTGAGATTTGCATGCCGAACCACTCCCCCATACATACGGGTATATAAGCTGGTCGGCAGTTCCCTCATTCAGGTTTACGCTGAGGAGCCGAGACGGTGTCCTGGCCATTCAGCCGGATGGTTCAGGGTTGTGGTAGGAGGGATATAACGGCTCCATTTTCATCCATCGAGGAAAGAGGGTTACAATAGTAACCAACAACATTATGTCACTGACTGACTTTTAGGGTCCATATGGAAAGAGCCACAACCACTAAACTATTTTATGCATATTTTGGAGATGCAGATGCTGGCAAGCTGAACGTGCCTTATTGGCAACTGCTCTTTTTAGGTTCAGCGCTGTACGTAAGCCCAAAACCTCAGTCCTTCATGCCAGCCAGGGTGGAAGGGACAGGGCTTACCATGGAGACATTCATAGCTGTTGTTCCTTTTGTATATTTGCTTTACAGGAAGATTGCTTTGGCTCTTTTTTTGTGTCATGACCAGAGTGTTAGCGCTGGGGAAGCATAGCTAGTCCAGATGGACAAGAATGCTACAGAGGCAACCTCCTACCAGTAGGGAGATACGTGGATGTGGAGATACACATATGGACTACCCGTGGAGCAGTGCCTACATATGGAAAGATCTCAGTGGTAGGTCCTACCTAGAAAGGGATGGAACTACAACAAATGCAAAGATGGGGCAGAGCAGAATCTGCCAAGGGAAAGACATGGGTTTACAGAACAGGGATACCATACCATGGAAGTATATATATATATATATACACATATGGGTTTACGGGAGGGGAAACACAATGCATTGGGCATCCAGCCCAGTACAGGGGCTGACTGATGGGGCATGCATCTCAGGTACTGTGGCTGGCGCCGGACGCCTCAGCCGCATCTGACTGGAAGTTAGTCCAGGGTTCGCCGATTGGCGAACTCACATGGAGAGCATAGAAGGCTCAATATCGAGTCTCAATACCAGCAGGAAATGACGGGTATGTGTGCACTAACTTTAAGGGTTAGTTCACCCAAAAATGAAAATTCTGTCAGTATTTACTCACCCTCATGTTGTTCCAACCCATCGAAAAGTCATTAAAGACATCGCTAAAATAGTCCAAGTGACTACAGTGGCTCAATTTTAACTTTATCAAACGACGAGAACACTTTTTGTGCACAAACAGAAATAACGACTTTATTTAAACTATTCACTTCCTTCTCCATGAGCCTGTAGTCAGTTAACGTAGTGTGATTGCGTAGAGCTACGTCACACGAAGGCTCACTATTGGCCGACGCTGGTCATGTGTGTGATGCGTGTGACGTACAATAACAGAAGCTTACGCTATTAAACTAGTAACCTGACTCGCGCAGAGGGAGAAATAAACGAATAGTTGAAATAAAGTCGTTATTTTTGTTGTTTTTGCGCACAAAAGTGTTCTCGTCGTTTGATAAAGTTAAGATTGAGCCCCTGTAGTCACTTGGACTATTTTAACGATGTCTTTAATGACTTTTCGATGCCAGAAAGAGTCATTCCCTCAAGAAGCCTATGGACTAGTATGCAGGAGCGATCTTAATATCTTAAATATCTTAATTTGTGTTGCGAAGATGAACGAAGGTTTTACGGGGTTGGAACAACATGAGGGTGAGTAAATACTGACAGAATTTTCATTTTTGGGTGAACTAACCCTTTAAATTCCGAGTATGGGTTGTCATCCATGGCCTTCACGTCATGTCAATTAGAGGGGAATGGTACTGCAAGCAAGACACCAAGCCAGCCTTCCACAGATTACATGTTTGTACATAACACATGGGGAGAAAGAGACAGGTTGAAGAACCTTGCGTAAGGTATCACCCAGCCCGAAGATCTACAGATGTCTACTAGAGGTGCCGTATGCCAATGCCCCAGAGTAGGCAACTCTCCGAGTGGAGTGAGCCCTCACCCTGACGGGGCACAGCACACCTTAGGTTTGGTATCCAGTGGGATACTGCCTCGACAGTGGCAGCCCGGGCAAACATGGCCGTTTAGTCTGAATCGATTCGTCCTGAGTAGTCACTCCTGAGTAGGGGAGAGTTCAGTGTCATCTTCCTCTCCAGAGCCCACTCTCCAATGGAGCTATCGACATCTGATCTGTGAGAAGAGATGCGAGAAGGACCCGTGCCATCACCCGGGAGCTCGGCGGCACATGACATTCTAGAGGTGCAGGAGGTTGTGGGAATTTGGCCCAGCCGAAACACTCCCACTGTAACCCTCAGTTCTCCCAGAGTGTTAACCATACTCGGGGCAGGCCGGGTAACATCAGAGTAGACTTTAGCCTTCACAAGGAAGGAGAGACGTGACCACAGTGTCGACATGATCATGTCCTCGCAGTGAGGATGTGAACCATCCATGAACCCCGTCTCAGTCTGATAGGCAACTTTAAAAAGACGTTCGCTGCCCGTGCTTTCTGTTTCTGAGGAAATCTGCTCTTTTGTGCTCTTTTAAGAATCGCAAAACACGCTGAATGAGCCTTTTCACCGGGAAGAGAAATCTCCTTTGTTGAATTTCCTCTCCCCTCTTTTTTTTGAATGCTACTTTGGGTGATCCCACCCGGCTCCAAAGCAACAATCTAAATGAGTGAACTGTACATACGGGGAGTGGCTCGGTGTGTAAATCACACTCGTTTTTCTACTTCTCAGAGGTGATTGGGGCTCCCAAGTGACATCCCATTTGTCAGTCAGCGACATAACGTTGGACGTGACAGACAGATAGGGAACTGCTGTTGTACATTATGGGTCATTTTGGATAAGTGAATACATTTAAATTGTATATCTTCTTGTTCATTTCAGATACATTTATATTGGGCCAGTGGGTCATCTTGAAGCCAGAATCTTCCAGTTGCTTCAATATAAAATAGCTGAAGAAGTGGTATTTCCCTTAGTTGCTTATTGCATCCTAGTCCACCCTATTCATGAAAAGTTCCAAGTGGTTTAGCATAATATTATATGCATAATACATAATATGGCATGTTCTATAGAGCATCATAACATTGGTTAGGCTGTGACAACTGGATGGTAAACTGCTTGCCAGTGCAAAAAAACAGCAAGTTTGAATGCAGGCAGTTGATGAATTAGTTGTAGGCTTTTTTGGACTGAAATAGAGATTGCTTACATGTTTACTGAATCCCTGAATATAAAGTAGGGAGGAATGTTTCTCGAGTTTCCATTGAAATCAGTATGTCAGTTTTTAGGTACAAATTCATAGAGATATTTAATCTAAGTTCACCAGGAGCAGGTCTCAGCCTATAGTGTACCATCAACCTCAGCAGAGAAGTGGCCGCACACAGACAAAGACCAAAGCTGGCTGATCATGCAAGGAAATGCTCTTACTAAACTGACACAGTAAAACCTTTAAATCATTTCATTTAGGTGAATTGTAGACTCTGTCTATACATCAGGGATAGTTCACCCAAATTCTCTCATCATTTCCTCACCCTCATGCCATCCCCTATGTACAGTCCTGGTCATAATTATTGGCACCCTTGGTAAATATGAACAAAGAAGCCTTTGAAAATAAATCGACATTGTTAATCCATTGTTAAACCTCCTTTTCCACAGATAACAACTCCGACTCTGACAAGAGATCAGAGACAATTCCTCTATACAAAATCTCTCCAGATCCTTCAAATTCCCAAGTCCAAGTCCTCTTCAGTTTCCATTATGGTTCAGGTAAAGGGACTAGGGTGGACATGGCAGAAGCTTCATTTTGTGGTCAGTGACCCATCTTTGTGTTGATTTTGATGTTTGTTTTGGATAATTATCCTGATTGAAGATCCAACCATGGCCGATTATTTTTCTGATGGTAGAATCTATGATGCCATGTATCTGAACAAGATGTCCAGCAGAAAAATAGACCCAGCTGTATACTTAATCATGCACAGGGATACTTTTTTCTCAGTATTTGAAACCCACCTTGAGTTTTTGCTGCCGAAAAGCTCTAATTTTAGTTTCATCTGACCACAGAAACCAGTGCCATTTGAAGTTCCAGTAGTGTCTGGCAAATGAATATGCTGAAGTTTGTTTTGAGGATGAGAGTAGATTACTTTTCTTCCCTCCCAAACAACTTATCTTATCTTATCTTAAAATAGACTTATCTATTTTCTGCAATTCTCCAGATGTGATTCTTGGAGAGTCTTTGTCCACTCAAACTGTCCTACTTGCCATGCATGCAGACAATATAAACACACATCCTCTTCCAGGCAGATTTGTTACATCTTTAGTTGATCTTAAGTTAGGAACCTTTTAATTATTGCTCTGGAAAACGGGAATTTTCAATACTTCAGCTATTTTCTCACAGCCACTTTTTATGAAGCTCAACAATCTTTTTCTAAATGTATATATATGTATTTATCATTGACCTGAATCCTATAGAAAACTGAAGAGGAGAGTGTATTAACTTGGACTTGGGAATTTGAAGGATCTGAAGAGGAATGTATGAAGGAATGATCTCTGATCTTTTGTCAGGTGTTCTCCAAACTCATCAGGTATTATTGGAGAAAGCTCAGAGCTGTTATCTAGGTAAAAGGATGTTGCAAAAAAAAGTAAGGTTATCATTAATTGTGGCCAATGTGTATTGGAGAAAAACATTTATTTTATAAAGAGATTTCCACAACCCATTTACATTTTAATTCATTGAATTTTTTAAACAAAAAGTCAAATTATTAACAATGCAGATTTATTTTCACAGGGATCTTTGTTCAGATTTACCAAGGGTGGCAAATAATTCTGACCATGACTGGATATCTTGTAATTCTGACCTGATTACAAGAATCTGATCTGTGGAATCTGGATCAGATCAGCAAAATCACTTTTTTTATATAATAAATCTTTTGGTTTAGCTGTATTCTTGCAGAATGAAGCTGACACCCCAGTGCCGATCTATGAATGCAAACAGCCATAGGTCACAGCGTAGAGGCTACAGCATGGGTATAAATCAGGATTTAGACATGGCTAAATCATGTGGAAAAATTTTGATCTCCAAAGTTCACAGCTTTCCCCTTTGAATGTATAACTCAAAGCAAAATTGAAACGGCCCAGAGTGTTCATGCTCTAAAAACGGGTGGTTTTCTGATAGGAAAGCCAACAAAGAGGGCTGCTATCCAACACAGAGCATTATCCTTTAACACAGAGCACAGCTGAGGTGTTTGAGTGTGTATGGAGAGCTGCAGACTCTGAGCATTGAAGGGCTCTTTATGTCCACCTTAAAGACAACAGTGTTTGTGCGTGTGATGCTGCAAGTAGTGTGTCCATGACAGCACAGAGGAAAAATGAAAGTCAAGTTCTGGTTAACTTTGTGTGTATTCGGTCACAGTTGTGTGATAGGATGCGTTTGGCATTGTTACCTAGATTAACCGTGAGTCGGACACGACTTGTCTCCAGCTCCAGACGCAGTGTGTCTGTGGAGTCTCGAGAAGTGGTTGCCATGAGAAAGCCATATGCCCGCTGGGATCGGAACCGTAGTGATACATCTTCAGCCTCTGTATGCATAGCTACAGATAACTGGACCTTCATGAACTTACTGCCATCGTAACTGAGAATGGTGGATTCTGTGGATGAGAGGCAAAGAGGTACTTTAATGTCATTGATCACAAATAGTTTTTTTTCCTTTTCTATAAAATAAAAAATAATAGCTTTTTTTAGGTAAAAAATAGACAAATAATTTATCTTTCCACAATAGAACTGGAACTGAAAATGCTGCATGCAGACAATTGACATGTGGAGTGATATGAGGAAAAGGGGTGGACACCCCTGAAAAATGTGTTGCGTTCGTTCATGTTCATTAAAAAGTGCAACTTGTGATCTTAAAAATGAATCAATGTAACAGTGATTAGATGGGTAATGTTTATGTGCTGAGATCCGATGATCAGATCATTTCAGTTTTCCTAGGGAATACAAACTTGGTGACACAGTATGGGATACGATTCGTCTCAAAATTTCTTGCAATTCCATGAAATTGATAAATGTTGCAAACAAATCTTACCACCCACAAACATATGCCATTCAACTTGAAGAAGCGTAAGAAGAATGGATTCGCATGAGAAGAATCTGATTGACACGGGTCGTGCGAGACAAGTTTTGGGGGCGCAGGTGTCCGAGCTCACCCAGCAGGTCCAACTTCTTCGAGCTCGCACTGCGCCACCCACACAAGCCGTTCCTCCCGCACTACCGGAGACCTCTGCGCCCTCTGAGCCACGCCTACCCATCATTCTTGGACATCCCTGGCTCATCCATCACAACCCTCGAGTGGACTGGCATCAAAAGGAGTGGAGCAAGGAATGTATAAGTCTTGTCTCGAGTCTGCTTGTCCATCTGTTCCTGTTTGTGTGTTTCAGGAGGAAGTGGGGGATTTGTCTAACGTGCCTGAGGAGTACCACGATCTGAAGGAACTGTTCAGTAAGTCTCGTGCTGCTTCTTTTCCTCCACTTCGTCTCTATGACTGTGCCATAGATTTACTGCCAGGTAAGTCTCCGCCTAAAGGCAAGTTATACTTGCTTTTTGTCCCAGAAAGGGAGGCTATGGAGAAATATATTTCTGATTCTCTGGCAACCAAGTTCATCCGCCCGTCCTCTTCTCCAGCGGGGATGGGGTTCTTTTTTGTGGGGAAAAAGAACGGCTCTCTGCGACCTTGTGTTGATTACCGGGGGTTGAATAACATCACGGTAAAGAATACTTATCCTTTGCCGTTGATGTCTTTAGCTTTCGAGAGGTTGCAGGGAGTGTCCGTCTTCACGAAACTGGACTTGTGTAACGCTTATCATTTGGTTCGCATTAGGGAGGGGGATGAAAGGAAGACTGCTTTTAAAGGGTTAGTTCACCCAAAAATCAAAATGAAGTCATTAATTACTCACCCCCATGCTGTTCCAACCCCGTAAGACCTTCGTTCATCTTCGGAACACAAATAAAGATATTTTTGATTGAATCTGAGAGCTAGATCAGTCCTAGATAGAATGCCTAAGGGACTGGCTCTTGACGGCCCATAAGGTTTAAATATTCCATGTGCCTACAGCGGCTCAATTATAAGTTTATCAAGCGACGAGAATACTTTTTGTGCGAAAAAAACATAAATAACGACTTAATTCGACTATTCCATTACTTCCTTATGGGCGCATGCGTGAGAACTGAGACAAGGACGTAAAAAAAAAAAAAAAAAAAAGTAACAAGAAATCTCCGTCTAATGAAATCATATTACAATACAAAGTTTCATCAATATATAATAAGAAATAAGAAGTATTAGGCCTCACCTCTCTCACAGGAGCGACCAAGATAGCCCGTCCCAGAGCAGTCACACACATAACGGTTCCATCCTTCCCTGCAGACTCCATTGTTCTGGCAGGGGTTACTGAGACACTGCTTGGGTGCCTCTTTACCGCAGGAGGGCTTTACGCCTGCTGCTTTCTGAACCTCTGCTAAGCGGCGGATATCTTTGCTCTGACCATTGATGAATAGGTCACGAATGCAGCCTACGTAACCATAATTCAGCAGAGCGGTCCACACCTCAGTGGGAAACACCATATCAGCTGTATTTTCCGGCAGTCCTCCTAGATACAGGTTATCATCCAGGTCAAGAATCTCACTGTCTCCTGGTGCTTGGTATGGTGTGCGAATTGCGTTGATAGAGATAGTACCTGCAATTCAACAAAGCCAGAGAAAAAAAATGTGAGACTGTGTGAAGAAAATCCTGTTATGTAAAGAATGATTTAAAGCATCAGTAAGACAAGTCAAGTCACCTTTATTTATAAAGCACTTTTTACAATACAGATTGTTTTAAAGCAGTATTAAAGGGGGAATCTGCCAGTATAAGCAGCTCTTCTCGCTATAGGATTCAGGTTAATTCAACTGAAGAGATGAACGCCATGTCATGTAACACCATAGCAAGGCCATGCCTCTGGTGGAGTGTGCTCTGATGCCGATGGAGCATTTGAGGCCTATCAAAACGTAAGCCGATGCGAAGGCATCCACTATCCAGCGGGATAATCTGTACTTCGTGACGGGAAGCCCCTTGGTTCGGCCACCGAAGCAAACAAAGAGCTGCTCTAAATGCCTAAACAGGACAGAGCGCTTTATTTATACTCTTAGGGACCGGACAGGGCGTAGAGTTAGTGTAATTGTCGCTCTTCTTCTGAAGCGTGCCTTGCCTTGAGGACAACCTTGGAGTTGTTAGGCCCAAACTCAAGGCCTCACTTGACCAATGCTAACGCTAGCAGGAGTGCGGTCTTAAGCGAAAGTGGCCATAGCTCGGCTGACTGTAGCAGCTCAAAGTGGAGCCCTTTGAGGGCCTAAGGACCATCGACAGGTCCCAATAAGGTAAGGTAGGAAGATGAGGCGGGTTGAGCCTCCTTGCCACTTTCAAGAACCGATCAACCAGGTTGTTTCTACCCAGCGATTGGTAGGCCACAGGAGCGTGATATGCAGCTATAGCCGCTACATAGACTTTGAGCATGGAGGGGGTGTTACTATCTATTAGCTCCTGTAGGAAGGACAGCACCAGCAGGACTTCACATGAAATAGGGTCTTGGTTCGAGACTGAACACCAGTCAGAGAAAACAGACGACTTTAGGCGTAGAGGCGTCTCATGGACAGGGCTCTATCTTCAGAGATAGTATTCAAGACTCTTGCTGGGAGGTCCGTAAGTTCCAATTAAAAATTAGGTCTTTCCTCAGGGGAATTGGCCATGGGGCTAACTGCTATAGCAGCTGAAAATCGCTGTGAGAGCATCCATTTTTGATGAACGCAGCTTGCATGGGCGCAGCCCTAGCGAATGACATGCTCATTGTCGCTGAGTTGTGAAACAATCACAGGCGAAAGATGCTCTTTAGAAAATGGATAAGCTCAATGAGTTTCACCTGATAGCCACAGGGGAAAAACATCATTTTTTTAGTTGCAGAGCTGTCAGCGCTGTGCTTGCTCTAGCAAAGGAGGAATCCCCTTGCTGCAGGGAGAGTGCGATATGCAGGATATAGGCTGGCACTGGGCTCACTTTCCCTGGTTGTCTCAGCCCTGTGACTCCATTGTTTCTCCATATTAAGCTTCTGAGAAGGAGAGAATAGTGGGAGAGGTGCACTTCCTCAGGGGAAGCGGTCCATGAATGCATTGAGGCGAGGCTCGTGCAATCCCAGCAAGGAATCCCCTCGCTGCAGATAGAGTGAGACGCGAGGGGAAATAGACCGGTGTGAGCTCACTTAGTCCCGTTCATTCAGACCGGAGGCTCCATTGTTTCCTCGTCTCATGATCGAGAGAGATGGAGAACATTGGAGACCGAGGGGAGGAGTCACATTCTTTAAAGAAAGCGGTCTGTGAACACCGCTTTCTCAGTGAGAGTATCAGTCTTCAATGATCGCAGTTTGAGGCGCGGTTTAGACCGGTGTGAGCTCACTAAAGCCGGGGACACACTTACCGACTGTAAGATTATTTTATTTTCATTCAAATTATATTATGCATGCATTTTGATACTTAAGAATGATCATGCCTAAACGCTCAGAGTTGCGTTCAGTCAGTGTTCACAGTCGTGTTTAAAATCTGCTGCAGTCGATGGAAACGGTTTGTTCAGCAAGTCATTTGGTGTGTCCCAAGCATTAATCCTGTTCGATCAGCCCAATCGAACAGGACTAATGCCGGGGAGTATAAAAGGAGTTTTCCCCCATAACGTCTAGCAGACGCGATAGAATGAACGTTTCGAAAGGGTCATGTCATCGTCCCGCTCAGTTCAGATCTCAAATAATGGTGTCAATGCAGGCATATCAATAATATTGTTGAATATTATCTGGAAAGGGAAGCTGGGACAAAGCAGAGAAGGAATCCAGATGCAAGCACACTTCCACAAAGAGAAGGCAGGAGAACAACAACAGAAATACACAAACAGCATTAGCGACCGACAAACAACAACTGATGCACAGAGGTTTAAATAGACAGGCTAACAAGTGGCTAATAAGGGACAGGTGTTGGTTACTGATGGCATGGGAACTAATAAGGGTAACTATGGTGACAAACAGGCAAAACAGGAACCAAACATAGGAAGTGAACACAGAAACAATGGGGAAATAAGAATCCACTTTAACCTAAAAGTCCTATAAAACACAAGACAGTGCAGGGATCGTGACAATAGTATGTAGGATGCAGAGACTAAGGACAAACCATGCTTCTAATCACAGGTGAAGAACTGTTGATGCAACCATACAAGCTTGTGATACTGTTTGTGAATGGTTGTTGGAAAGGTATATTTAAGAAAGACCAAATTGCTCAACTACCATCGCAAACAATGGGACAAGTGACCACAGCTGGCTAACAATGGGAAACACACTCCTGTAAAGCAGTCATCTCATACACAAACTCTAGTAAAATCTTACCTGATTTTCCATCCCTCTGGAAATCCACATGATACCACTCCCCATCATTCACTTTTTTGTTCACAGCCAGTGTCTTGGTTGTGCCTGATCCCATATCCAAAAGCAGGTACAAAAGACCATCCAGTATCTCAATGGCAAAGAAGTCCACCTTCAGTGTGTGAGGGCTCTTGGTTTCTTTGGTCTGTTGCTTAGGTTTGCCATGGTTAAAGAGCAGAAGTCCATTGGGCTCAGTGGTGCGGAAGTCAAAGGAAATAGAGCCGGTCTTCTTAGTGGTCCATTGCAGAAGTGTGATGAAGGACTCCGGTGTCTCAAACGTGATGGGATCTAATGCCACAACAGTCTCACACTTGAAGGAAACAACTCCATGTATCTTTATGTTGGGGTCTCCTTTAAAGGCCAGTCTCGACAGCTCCAGCCGAACGTCATTGTTTTTATATACAACCTACAGATATACAACAATGTGAGTTCAACAGAAATAATCTGAGAAACTTCTGATCTAAACTGTTTGCAGAACCCTTTTATGAATAGGTGGAAAGATAAGTTGATTGATTGTACATAGTGGGCCCTATCATTTTACTATTTATATATTAATACATATGTGACCTGATCCAGCAAAATGAGTCACAGTGATTCAAATTTAAAAATTGAGATTTTGGTATTAATGGAAAGAGGACACCATAAGCTTTCAAATGATATCTTAGTCAAAGTCATACCTTGAATGGTTGTTGAAACCGTTAAAAGATATACACATTTAAATTCTGGTCGTCTGACCTTTTTTTCCAATTGAAAACCTGAGAAAATCGCTTTTAAAGTTTTTTTGCCTGTTTTTTGTTGTTGATATCTTTCAAAATCCATTGCATTTTAAAAGATAAACTATTTATTTTATAGCTTAATTTGACCAAATACATTAATATTGTAACCCTTCTTCATCCGGTGGGTATTACTTTTGGTTTGTGCAGTGTGGTTCACATAGGCCTATTTATTAAAAGATTTAATTATCTGGGAATTACTGTATCTCCTTCTCGGCGCTTTTTTCATTGTTTATTTGTTTTCTTTATTTATAAACAGATGAACATTTACAGTTAAAAGTTGATGCTGATATCTAACAATGCACATACTTCAGAAAATATAATGAATAAAGAAGGCATAACTACTTATTACAATAGTTCATGTTTTTCACAGTCACAGGTTGTCCCTTTAAAATAACTGTTTTATATACAGTTTATGTATATTGATTGCTTTTGGATATTGATCTTAATGCCTTAATTAGAAAAATGAGGAAAACTCCAACCTTTAAGGACACCAATTTTCTTTGTGAATGAATAATGTATCATAAATAAATAAATGTTTTTCCTTAAAATACAGGGTGCATAAGTCAGGACACCCCTATGTTAAATTCCCATAGAGTCAGGCAGATTTTTATTTTTAAAAGCCAGTTATTTCATGGATTCAGGATAAAATGCATCCTGATAAAGTTCCCTTGGCCTTTGGGATTAAAATATCCCCACATCATCACACACCATTCACCACACCTAGAGATTGGCATGGTTTTACTTCAGTTAGCCTAATAGCTGGTTTGATTTGCATTGAAAGATGATCTTATGGAAAGTACCCCATGCCAATCTCTAGGTGTGGTGGAAGGTGTGTGATGATGTGGGGATATTTTAATTCCAAAGGCCAAGGGAACTTTATCAGGATGCATATTATCCTGGATCCATGAAATAACTGGCTTTTAAAAATAAAAATCTGCCTGACTCTATGGGAATTTAACATAGGGGTGTCCTGACTTATGCACCCTGTATTTTAAGGAAAAACATTTATTTATTTATGATACATTATTCATTCACAAAGAAAATTGGTGTCCTTAAAGGTTGGAGTTTTCCTCATTTTTCTAATTAAGGCATTAAGATCAATATCCAAAAGATGATTTTTTATTCCTCTTTTTAGGCAACTTTAGCATGGGGGCCAAAACTTATTCACACCACTGTATCTGTAATTAATGATATTATAATTTAAATATGTAAATATTTCAGGGGCGTTCCTTATCTTTAAAACTACTTTAATTAAATGAAAAATAAGTCTAAATACATTTTAAAAATTTGAATAGAACTTGAATGTTCGTGGCGGACATGTTGTTGACATAGAAACCACGACAACTGCCAGTCTGTCAATTGACAAGCGAGGCAGTGTCGGTATATTATCCATGGTATAATCGCTGTATTTTTTTTTTTTTTTTTTTAACAAAGTCAATTGCTTACAAAACATGTCATGGTTAATTAAAGGCTCTTTGAACCCATTTTGTTCTGCAAACACAATTTAGGTCATAACAGAAACAGAAGCTTCTATAAAGCTCTCTATAAAGCTTCATCTGCACTGATATCTTGTAGTAGGTATTTTACCTCCCTCAGACAACCCATAAAGTTGTTGCTGACAGGTGATCCAGGCAGGTCGGCTGTACCAGGACTTCCTCCAACATAGAAAAAGTCATCAGAGCCAAGTATAGTGTAGTCCTCTTGAGTATATCCCGTGGTGGTCAGTATTCCGTCCACAGATATTGTTACCTAAAGAACAAAAAAAGAAAATATTAAATACAGGTACGACTTTGCAACTGTCTAGATTTTGGTTTCTTCAGTCACTAAGATGCACTGAACACTTCATAATGACACAATGGAGAACATGCCAGTGGTCACATGATCAGAAGCTCTATAGAAACACCAATTCATTGGCTGAAGGTGCTGAAGTGCCACCCATAAGGAGCTGCATAACCTGGCACCATCACCTCTGATTTTCTTATCGTCAGTGCACTGTAGTTTCAGCCCCTTTTGTCAAGCCACTCGCCTTTAAGTTGATTATTCCCTTTTTGAGTGACAAGATGGCATTTCTGGAGTGTCTAACCTTAATGAACGCGCATCATCGTCTTGTTTGAAAATGAAAATGATGTCATTAATGACTCACCCTCATGTCTTCCAAGCAAAATGTATGCACGGTATACTTGTCAAGAAAGGTTAGAAAGACATCAAAGTAGTCCATGTGACATCAGTGGGTTAGTTAGAATGTTTTGAAGCATCGCAAATACATTTTGGTCCAAAAATAACAAAAACTACTACTTTATTCAGCATTGTATTGTGTTCCGGTTCTGTTGTGGATCCGCGTTCAGTGCCGCTGCTGACGTAAGATGCGGCTGACGTGTGTCTGAGCTTCGGTTACAGTCTGAGCTTAAAAATATTGTAACTAAGCCACTGATGTCACATGGACTACTTTGATGATGTCTTTATTTCCTTTCTGGACAAGGACAGTCCCAGTACATGCATGTTCAATGGAGGGACAGAAAACTCTCTAACTAAATCTAAAATATCTTAAACTGTGTTTCGAAGATGATCTTATGCGATAACGGGTTTGGGACGACATAAGGGAGAGTCATTAATAACATAATTTTCATTTTTGGACGAACTAACCCTTTAAACATACAATTTGGTGTTGATGTATTAAACAAACAACAGCATTAGTATTAAGGCCGAGCGATTTTATCGATTCTGCGATATAAATTGATATTTTTTCCCCAAAAAAGTATTGATTTTTAAGCCGCGAATATCGATACATAAGTCCCATTCAAATCCCTGAGTAATTTACCTCGTCAAGGGGCCGTTCACATGTCGTGTCTTTGCGCACTCAAGTTTGTTAGCTCAAATGAAGGCCCATAATTGAAGATCATGTTTTCCGGCGCTGCGAGATGAAAACACCTCAGCTTTTCAGAATGCCGCAAGCATACGTTCATGTGACAAGAACCAACCATCAACTTCACCCTTTCCGTGACAGCATTGAAAGCTCGGTCCACAAGGATGGAGGATGGAGGCGCACACAAACACCACGGGTGTTTTTCTCTTCTCTGTAAATAAATCTTGTAACTTAGCAGAGCTTTCAGTGGTGGAAATCTATTAGCTACTAAAAATTCTTTGTCGTTGTGGAAAGCGCGGTGCGTAGTTGCTTAGCAACGGCAGACGCCACGGGAAAATTGGATCTTCGGATTTGCAATACTGCACTTTATTTACTTTTCAAAGGCTTGTAAGCTACAGTTTGCACTGTTTCTATAAATGGAACCAATTTTCTCAGCACATCTTTGATTCAGTTTGTCCAGCATTTGCAAGCTGTAGAGACTCTGTTCAGTCAGAGACATATTGTGTAATTGATGCTTTTAGTTTTTAGTTAAATTAATTCAATCCAAGTAAATTGAACACTCAAAAGATGTCACCAAAATCACTCTGTCCCCTTTAAATCTTTCAGAAAATGATTTAAGTGTATTGAATTATATTGGCTGAATACCGTGATATATATCGTATCGTCAGCGGAATATCGTGTATCGTATCGTTTCGTGAGATTAGTGTATTGCTACAGCCCTAATCAGTATTGCCCCATTACAACTTAAAAGTAATTGACAGACACAAAAATTGTGTTAGTAACTAAGATAGTCTTGTTAGGATATTTAATTCAAATAAAAATGGGGTATTTAAAAGAAAACCATGCAACAGGGTTAAAACTGAAAGCGTAATATTTCTAGCAGTGCCCAAATTTAGTCAAGAAATCAAAATCTCATGCAGTTTTCTTTTAGTGCATTCACATGAATTATGTGAATTGTATGTGTATACAGAGCATATATTAAAATATGACAACTAAACTAGGGATGCACGATATATCGGCCACCATATCGGTATCGGCCGATATATGTTCAATTTACTGTTATCGTTATCGGCCGGATAAGAAAATTTAGCCAATATATTAAAGCCGATAAATAATGTATTATTTCCTTCATCTGAGACACTTAAGATGCGCACTGTTCAACATGATGGATTTGAATTGCTTGAGTACAGTAAATTGCAACATGTAAGGCTGCCATATCCGCTACATAAAATTATAACGAGAACGTCATTGTAATTGTGTGTTTTGGACGTGGATTTTAATGGTGAGACTACTGTTTTTGTAATCAGGTTCTCAAAAATTATATAAAAATTTGGGTTTAGATTTATCGGCCAATATATCGGTTATCGGCTTTCAAATATAAAGAATTATCGGTTATCGTATCGGCCAAAATTTTCATATCGGTGCATCCCTAAACTAAACGTTTAAAAATTGTGACACACGGAGGGGCTAGAGTAAAAAAAAGTGAGCCAAAGACAAATATATTATGCGTGACTTTATCAGCACAGCATTTTCAATGCAGACCATGCAGAATGGAAGGGAATAGAGCTGACTATGGCAGTCAGGACATGTTTCAAACCACAGGGATTAACATTAACCAAGGGTGATCCTTCTGTAAAGGGAGTGGGGAGGGTGAACTAAAGGAATAAGATTGACCAGTAAAATCGAAAACAGCAAAGTGTACCAACCAGTTTAAAGGATGTTTACAACTAAAGAAAAAGGAAACACACAACACCCGTCCAAAAAAAATAAATAAATTGAATAATATCTAAAGAACAAGGTAGTTTCTTTACCATAGCATATCCAATGCCTGAGTGCTTTGTGGAATAAGAGGAGAAAGGAAATTTAAAAAAGGCAGTGAATAAAATAACAAATGATACTTAAAATAATAAACATATTTTTATTAATGTTGGAAATTAGTTTGTTAAACATTAAAAGGAAAGTTTAGTAGAATGACACATTCCATGATTGACGTTAGTTTTTCAAAGCATATGAGTAGCTGCATATAACCAAACAAAATAAATTATATGCAGTGACACTTTAATTCGATGTCTTCTTTAAGCCCGGAACACACCAAGCCGACGGTCGGCCGTCGGGCAATTTTTGTGCGTCGGCCGACTAAGTTTCCTCGGTGTGATACGCACGGTTCCGTGTCGTCGGCTGAAATGAGTCCTCGTCGGCTTTGTTTCGCCCGATTCGACATGTTGAATCAGCGTCGGGCCGTCGGGGAAAGAGAGAACTCTGATTGGCTGTTCAGCTTAGTGATATAAGCAAAAAGCAAAACAGCAAGCAAAAAAGTAAAAACGGTAAAGATAGAAGGCTGTTCTTATGTTCTTATGTTACGTCATCTAACTGAGTGTTCCTTGGCGAATATTTCAATATTAACATGAGCGGAGTGGAATAAAGAAAGCGCAAGCATGCGCTGCTTTGTTTACGGTATGTGTATAGCATCGGTTTTCCTTTTTGAATGACGAATATAGACTAATATATCTGCAGAAATGGACAGTTGGCTCATTACTAGGGTTGGGTATCGAGAATCGAGTATCGATTGGAACCGGGACTAACTTTTCGTTTTTCCCGGAATCGTTCAAAAGTTAAAATTTCGATTCCTAGTTTCGATATTCACAGTCCGCCGAGCAGAAGAAGAAACTGCTGAACAACACCAACGAAGAAGCGTCTACCGGAAAAGTTGGCATAACCACGCGAGTCGAACATGAGTAGCTTACGTCGGCGATCCAAAGTGTGGCTTCACTTTTCTAAAAATAACGAAATCTCGGCAAAATGCAAAATTTGTGACAAAAGGAGTATTTTTACAGAAGGAGTATTTCCTTCAGAAAGGTTTGTTTCCTTCAGAAAGGCCGTTGGTTAGCAAGGTTAGCTAAACTTTTTTGACCCTGCCTCTTAAAAGAATCGGAATCGAGAATCGTTAGGAACCGGAATCGAAACAAGGAATCGGAATCAGAATCGTTCAAATTCAAACGATACCCAACCCTACTCATTACACGCACATTATAGCTGACAGTCGCCTGTAGTTCTCTCGGTGTGTTCAAGTGCAGCTTTTACCCCGACGAGAGCGGACGAGAGGCGACAACACAGTCGGCTTTCATCAGCACTAGTTCGTCGGCGTTGGCTTGGTGTGTTCCGGGCTTTAGACATTCTACTAACAATAAGTAACTTTGCAACTACATGTCAACTAACTAAGGAATTATTTCTATTGTAATGTCACTCTTAACTGAATCATTGGTCTGTTTGGCTCCTTCGAAGCTCCGCTAGCTCTATTACCTGACGCAAATTCCGTGTCACTTTCACATCATGCCATTCATTGTCATTAAATTTCCCATTGACCAACTCCACCAGAGCTTCAAACGCCCCGGAGCCCAAATTTATGACGAGCGACACCGCCCCGTTTATCAGCGCCAGGTTGACATAGTCAGCGGATTTTCCTGTGTGCAGCAACAGTCCGTTTCTCTGAAGTGTTTTGAACGACAGTGTGATTTCTTCGCTGCTGCCTTGGATCGGGTTCAAAGAAAGGTCGTACCAGAGGTATTCTGAACCTTTGAATGTCGCCACATATTCTTCTTCTATTCCTGAAAACAAAGAAGAAATGATGGGTTAAAAACCTGACAAGGATGTTGTAGCGAGGGTGGCGTGGTTATGCGAAGTCTACAACGGGGGATCGAGTGCGCAGACGAGCGGTGATTAGGAGGCAAGTGAATGATGGCTAACAACACCTTGTACTGGAGCAGTTTGTCGCTCAGCTACCTTGAGGAGCATCCGAGTGGGTCCAGCGCCACCACCCGGCCTCGCTGGGTCAGGCCATCCAGCTGACTGAGGACCATCTGGTGGCGTGGGATGGATTATTCTTAAGTAACTGTCACTGGAGTAACTGGAGAAAAGCATAAGTTAAGGTGGCGGATAATCCCCACCTTGGGTGTCCACTAATTTGGGGTACAGATTGACCAGCATTTACACAATTATTGGGTTTTTTTATCCAGATGCCTCTTGGAGGACATGGCAAGGGACCTGTGGCTCAGACTTGGGAAGCTGTTCCAGGATATGAGAACAAGGGCAGACCTAAAGTCGAGATTGAGGTTAGATGACTTCTCTCAAGCAGTCTTGTGATGAAACGCTTAAAGGGTTAGTTCACCCAAAAATGAAAATTCTGTCAGTCTCACCCTCATGTTGTTCCAACCCCGTAAGACCTTCGTTCATCTTCGCAACACAAATTAAGATATTTAAGATATTAAGATCGCTCCTGCATACTAGTCCATAGGCTTCTTGAGGGAATGACTCTTGCTGGCCTCGAAAAGTCATTAAAGACATCGTTAAAATAGTCCAAGTGACTACAGTGGTTCAATTTTAACTTTATCAAACGACGAGAATACTTTTTGTGCGCAAAAACAAACAAAAATAACGACTTGACAATTATGGCTGTTACAAGCACAACAGAAAAAAACCCTCATTGCTTACACGTCAGGCTGTGAGTAGCACTACTCCCTACGGCCACAGCCCGAACTTTATATTAAGCGAGGAAGTGACACGAAGGACTTGACCCAGAACCAACTTAAGGGCATGGACACCACAACCCAACTTTAGAGGGGAGTTCCTATGGCCCAGAGCTTATGCTGCTGCTTCCGGGTGAAACCAATGTCAACCCCCATTCAAGGAAGGCTATCATTTTTGACACTGAAGCCAACAACCTGTTTGGGTTTACTTTATTCAACCACAGTCTCTAGCCAGAGACGATAGCTCCTTCACAGTGCTATGGGAAGTGGAGGCCTCGGCAGGATAACTCTGAGAGCAGAGGAGGCCTACCATACTTACACCAACGTGGTCTAGAGTTTTTTTTTTTTATTCATAGAGTGAATCAAGTTCATAATGCAGAACTCAGAAAGTAAAGGGCCTAAAACAACTCTTCGTTAGTGAGAGGGCTCTTTTACTACTACCTGCACATCTGTTTGCATGGAGGCCTACACATGCTAGAGGACAGCTAGCTCATCTATCGCAGTGCTCAGGGAGCGAGGGGGCCTAACTGTTCTCCTTTTTGTGGAGAGAGACAACTGAGTCCCGCTAGCCCTGTCTGTGATCTTCAGAACAAGACAGGCCCCTGCGGTATGCATGATCTGTATGCCGCCGAGCGTGTCTTCGCTTCCCTGGACTTTCCGCCAACCGCCTTAACGGAGGTCCCAAAAAGCTCAGAGGGCAAAACTGGGGCATTGAGGGAAAAAAGCCTTCTTTTTCTCCCCAAAACCTGCCAAGTTCACCCACAGATGCCTCTCTGTGGCCACCATGTCCGCTAACGATCGTCCGATTGCGCCAGCCATCTGTTTGGTGGCCCGGAGAGCCAGGTCTGTGGTGCAGCACAACTCAGCCATCGCGCATTGGGCTAAACAGTTTGCCCACCCCTCTCCCTCAAGGACTGAGCATGTGTGCTCTTCACCCAAACAAAGCACACATACAGGCGTTGGACAATGAAACTGAAACACTGGCCAATGTTGGAGGTTTCACATCTATATGCCTGGCGGCCAATCTTCAGAGTGAAGCACGGGTGGATCAGTGATGGTTTGAGCTCCAATATCATGACAATCCTGATTGTATTTGATGGACACGACACTGCCGAGGACTACCAAACCCTTCTGGAGGATCATGAGCACCTGATGCTCAAACCGTGTATCAGCATGATCATGCACCAACACACACAGCAAGACTTGTGACAGGAGGGTTTGATGAAGATGAAAGTGACGGTGAACATGCACAGTCTAAATATTATTGAGGTGTTTGAGGAGCGAGTCCACCAGCATCATATAGTGACCTGGACACTGTTCTGGAAGAGGAACGGCTCATAATCCCTCTGGTCACTGTGAAGGACTTCTATCTGTCATTCCCAAGATGAATTGGTGCTGTATTTGGATGCAAAATTAGGCCCTCACCATACTAACAAATTATTGTGTTGTAAAACCAGGTGTTTCAGTCTCATTGTCCAACCCCTGTAGGTTATGAGTGTCACCAGGTGTGAGAAACCTCTCACACAGGTTGGCATACTTCCTAAAGCGCTTGCTACTTGCCATAATTGTCACTCACAGTGTCAGTGAAACAGTCCCTGAAGACAAAAAGAGGATGACATGTTCTCTAGGATCACCTTTTATACTTACGGGTATGAGGACACTGGCCAATTCGAATGTCGTGGTTATACAGTGTTTCAGTCATCAGTCACGCTGAGGCGTTCCCTACAGCACTTGACGCAGTGCGAGTTCCCTTTAACTCGATTTTCCTAAAAAATTTACTCTGCTGACTATCGACTTCAAACAGGCCATATTTCTGTCTGATTCCAACCAATCATACATCATTTTGAAGGTTTTTTAATAGAGAATGTGAAAATAACAACAATAATACATTTTAGAACATTTGCTCGATGCGACTCATTTGCCAGCGTGGGTCACTGTAAGAAATAAGAAGTATTAGGCCTCACCTCTCTCACAGGAGCGACCAAGATAGCCCGTCCCAGAGCAGTCACACACATAACGGTTCCATCCTTCCCTGCAGACTCCATTGTTTTGGCAGGGGTTACTGAGACACTGCTTGGGCGCCTCTTTACCGCAGGAGGGCTTTACGCCTGCTGCTTTCTGAACCTCTGCTAAGCGGCGGATATCTTTGCTCTGACCATTGATGAATAGGTCACGAATGCAGCCTACGTAACCATAATTCAGCAGAGCGGTCCACACCTCAGTGGGAAACACCATATCAGCTGTATTTTCCGGCAGTCCTCCTAGATACAGGTTATCATCCAGGTCAAGGATCTCACTGTCTCCTGGTGCTTGGTATGGTGTGCGAATTCCGTTGATAGAGATAGTACCTGCAATTCAACAAAGCCAGAGAAAAAAAATGTGCGAAGAAAATCCTGTTTTTTAGAGAATGATTTAAAGCATCAGTAAGACAAGTCAAGTCACTTTTAGTTACATAGACATTTTACAATACGGATTGTTTTTAAAAGCCGCTTTACAGCAATAACAGGAAAAGAATGCAACAAAGTTTGTTTCGGTTGTTCAGCAGATCTAGAAGAAAATAGTGTCACAGTCCAGATTAAGTAAGTTCAGTGATGGCTAATTTTTGATCAGATCAATAATATCGTTGAATAATATCTGTAAACATTTCCAGTAAATACATATGTATTCTTGCAAATATTTAAATACTCATGACAAACAACACTGTCACTCATATCTCGCTCACAGTGCAAGGCCTGGGTGTCTGTAATTACCAGCTCTCAGGAGGGATTGGAAAACACAGCTGGAGGCCAAATCTAATTTTCAGCTTGACATTTTGGCCAAAAACACATGCCAATAATAAGCAAATCAAAAACAAGCTTCCTTAAGCTGTTGTGTTGTGTCACTGTGTTGCAGATAGGTGAATCAGGTGACACAAATGGGGAGTTTTCTAAAGACGCTTTACTGTCTGCTTGCTGCAGACGGTAAACAAAATTTGACTGTGGTGGGGAGACGCTGCGGAGTATACAAGGCCTGAAAGATCTGAATTTCACTCTGCAAATCTGTGCATTCAGACAGTAGAGAAAGTTTGTCTTTGAAATGTTCTTAATAATAGCTTATTCAAACCATTTTTACATTTTACTGCCATGATTGTCTTTTAAGCAATATTTTTTCTTGTGCTTTTTATGGTCTGCATTCAAAAAAATATATCAAAGTTCAATGATGGATTTTCTTATTGACAAATATAAAGTAAAATGCTAACTAATGATAAACCATGCATGTAACACAGGTGAAGATCTGTTGTTCCAACCACACAAGCTTGTGATGCTGTTTGTGAACTACCATCACAACAATGGGACAAGTGACCACAGTTGGCTAACAATGGGAAACACTCCTGTTAAGCAGTCATCTCATACACAAACTGAAGTAAAATCTTACCTGATTTTCCATCCCTCTGGAAATCCACATGATACCACTCCCCATCATTCACTTTTTTGTTCACAGCCAGTGTCTTGGTTGTGCCTGATCCCATATCCAAAAGCAGGTACAAAAGACCATCCAGTATCTCAATGGCAAAGAAGTCCACCTTCAGTGTGTGAGGGCTCTTGGTTTCTTTGGTCTGTTGCTTAGGTTTGCCATGGTTAAAGAGCAGAAGTCCATTGGGCTCAGTGGTGCGGAAGTCAAAGGAAATAGAGCCGGTCTTCTTAGTGGTCCATTGCAGAAGTGTGATGAAGGACTCCGGTGTCTCAAACGTGATGGGATCTAATGCCACAACAGTCTCACACTTGAAGGAAACAACTCCATGTATCTTTATGTTGGGGTCTCCTTTAAAGGCCAGTCTCGACAGCTCCAGCCGAACGTCATTGTTTTTATATACAACCTACAGATATATAACAATGTGAGTTCAACAGAAATAATCTGAGAAACGTCTGATCTAAACTGTGTTTGCAGAACCCTTTTATGAATAGGTGGAAAGATAAGTTGATTGATTGTGCATAGTGGGCCCTTTCATTTAACTATTTATATATTAATACATATCATATTACTAGCAAAAAAAAAAGCATTTTTTTTTGCTAGTTTCAGCCTGACGCAGTTATCATTTTCACTTGCTGCGCCTTGTTATTTAAATAGCAAATGGGTGGTTGACGTGACGCTCCATTTTTGTGTACAAATATAAATAAAAATGTGTAATATTTAATTAAAGGAACAATGTGTTCTTTTTATGTATTTTATTATTTAAAATCAATATTTTTATTCATAAATATGCCCTCAATGGTATACAAATACGTCTGCCATTTATCTGACTTATCCTCGTAAATGAAGAATTTATTATCTTTATATATATGGGATGGGTAGGTCCACGGAGGCTTCTATGTAGATCCGGCATCTTAAAAAAAAAATATAATATCAGAGAGGGACAAAAACTGCCAGGCCAACGCGTTTCCACAGCGTTTTCGTTCAGAGCCAGTGTGACGAGCAGTGAGAGGCGCTTTTTTCATTGTTTATTTGTTTTCTTTATTTATAAACAGATGAACATTTACAGTTAAAAGTTGATTCTGATATCTAACAATGCACGTACTTCAGAAAATATGATGAATAAAGAAGGCATAACTACTTATTACAATAGTTCATGTTTGTCACAGTCACAGGTTGTCCCTTTAAAATAACTGTTTTTTATACACTTTCACAACGATCTGTAATTAATGAGTATTATAATTTAAATATGTAAATATTTTGTTTTAAACATGACATTTGTCCACTGGCGTGACTGTCCGGGGTAGCGTTCCTTATCTTTAAAACTACTTTAATTAAATGAAAAATAAGTCTAAATACATTTTAAAAACTTGAATGATGATGTAGATCGAATAACATCTATAATATCTAATGTTCGTGGCGGCCATGTTGTTGACATAGAAACCACGACAACTGCCAGTCTGTCAATTGACATGCGAGGCAGTGTCGGTATTATCCATGGTATAATTGCTGTATTTTATTTTTTTTAACAAAGTCAATTGCTTACAAAACATGTCATGGTTAATTAAAGGCTCTTTGAACCCATTTTGTTCTGCAAACACAATTAAGGTCATTACAGAAACTTCTATAAAGCTTTATTTATTATTTATTGTATTTTACCTCCCTCAGACAACCCATAAAGTTGTTGCTGACAGGTGATCCAGGCAGGTCAGCTGTACCAGGACTTCCTCCAACATAGAAAAAGTCATCAGAGCCAAGTATAGTGTAGTCCTCTTGAGTATATTCTTTGGTGGTCAGTATTCCGTCCACAGATATTGTTACCTAAAGAACAAACGAACAAAAAATAGATACGACTTTGCTACTGTCTAGATTTTGGTTTCTTCAGTCACTAAGATGCACTGAACACTTCATAATGACACAATGGAGAACACGCCAGTGGTCACATGATCAGAAGCCCTATAGAAACACCAATTCATTGGCTGATGGTGCTGAAGTGCCACCCATAAGGAGCTGCATAACCTGGCACCATCACCTCTGATTTTCTTATCTTCAGTGCACTGTAGTTTCAGCCCCTTTTGTCAAGCCACTCGACTTTAAGTTGATTATTCCCATTTTTGAGTGACAAGATGGGATTTCTGGAGTGTCTAACCTTAATGAACGTGCATCATCGTCTTGTTTGGGGGTTTGTCATGCGGAGTCATGTTGGAAGGATATGGATTTCCAAACTTCAAGATCTTGAGCAATCATGAGCTTCGGACAATGCTTTCACTGTGAGAGACTTTCAAGCCACATTCTGAAACCCAGGAGAATGCTTTCTACGCATTAGAAAATGACTTTTACGTGCATCCAATAAACACTTTTTAGAGTACAGATATGACACACAATTTGTGCATACAAAATGATACGAAATATACACAACCCAGCCAATTCTACACTGCTGGTAAATTTTGTGTACCAGATACAAGTACAAGATTACTTCTACGTATAAAGGAGCACGCTAAAAAAAGTGCAGTGCCAGCCCGAACTCCGCCCACAACATTTTTTGGTTGGGAAATTCGGTCTGGACTCGATCCATTGAGGAGTAATTATGATCAAAAAATGAACGGGCCAATCAGATTGCCAGGGCGGGCTTTATACAATGATGGACAGATGATCTGCAGGGACGTAATCATCACGTTATCAAAGAGCGCTTGTCAAAGATGACTGCAGCTGGAGAATTGAGATGTACAGATTCCGCTGTCGCGTCTGTTTTTAAAATTAATCGACAGCGCACTAATTTTAATAGACAAACAGAAAACTGCAATCAAGGCATTTGTCGATCGGAAAGATATTGGGGAAAAGTGTAACTCATCAGCTGGCTCTGACGGTCGCTAAGATAAGAAGATGGGACGTAATGAAAAGCCCGTGGTCGTTGTGGTTTCTCTTTTGGTCGCACTGATGAAGGACCAAGTGAAAGAAGCAACACTCGTTATTTTACTTCTAAAATACAGTAAGTAAGCTCTGTTGTTGACAGCCATGCTATGCAAAGTATTTGACTTACTGCGTTGCTCTGATTGGTTGTAGGTCTGTCCTATCCAATTGAGTGCAGAGTTTTTTTTCCCCCTGGTTCGGTTAAGACACGCCTCAAAATCAAAGCCCGTACAGAGTGGTCTCAGACTCATTTTCTCAATAGAAAATGAGTATGACGAAGTCAGGCTAGGGACGATGGTGAGGCTGTCCATAACTTTGGTCTAGCGTGAGTTTAATCACTCATTAAACTCCCACTAAAATCATGGAAACTGACAACACTGCGAAAAGAATCTCTTACATCAAATCTGCACGTTGTTGTTTATGATTGGAGAATTCACGAGTTTCAGTCAGAGAGAGCGCCAACTGAAAATAATCTGAAACGCCTCTGATTGGCTGATCTGATTTTAGGAAGAAATAATTTTAGGCAGGAATTCGGGAAGAATCGCATCCCTCGTAACTCCGTATGGGCGGATCTTCAGCGCCACCAGCCAATGAATTAGTGTGATTCTATAGGGCTTCTGAGTCTGACCTTGTGAACACTGACAGTGTTTTGTTCCCACTCTGGAAAACAGGGTTACGTCCAGGAAAAACTTTCCTCTATTGTATATTGCATTCCTCTATCTTTATATTGCATGACTTATATATGCACAAGATATATTTTGAAGACTTAATTTACTTGAATACAATTGGGTGTTGATGTACTAAACAAATAATAGCATCAGTAATTGCCCCATAGCAACTAGACTCAAAAATGGCGTTAGAAACTAAGATAGTCTTGTTAGGATATTTCATTGTAAGTAAGTTAAAAGAAAACCATGCAAAAAGGGTAAAAACTGAAAATGCACTATATATTTTTTTAGCAGCGTCACAACTTAGTCAAGAAATCAAAATCTCACGCAGTTTTCTTTTTTGTGCATTTACAATAATTATAATCAGATATTGTGCGGATTTTATGTGTATACAGAGCATATGACAACTAAACATTTAAAAATGTGGCACATGGGGGCTAGAGTAAAAAAAATAGATTATGGGTGACTTCATCAGCACAGTATTTTCAATGCAGACCATGTTGAATGGGAGAGAATAGAGCTGACTGTGGCAGTCAGGACATGTTTCAAACCACTGCCGTGTAAAGGGGTGATCCTTCTAATGGTAGTAAGTTGAAAGTGAACTAGAAATTCTATTACCTGACGCAAATTCCGTGTCACTTTCACATCATGCCATTCATTGTCATTAAATTTCCCGTTGACCTGCTCCACCAGAGCTTCAAACGCCCCGGAGCCCAAATTTATGACGAGCGACACCGCCCCGTTTATCAGCGCCAGGTTGACATAGTCAGCGGATTTTCCTGTGTGCAGCAACAGTCCGTTTCTCTGAAGTGTTTTGAACGACAGTGTGATTTCTTCGCTGCTGCCTTGGATCGGGTTCAAAGAAAGGTCGTACCAGAGGTATTCTGAACCTTTGAATGTCGCCACATATTCTTCTTCTATTCCTGAAAACAAAGAAGAAATGATGGGTTAAAAACCTGACAAGGATGTTGTAGCGAGGGTGGCGTGGTTATGCGAAGTCTACAACGGGGGATCGAGTGCGCAGACGAGCGGTGATTAGGAGGCAAGTGAATGATGGCTAACACCTGTCTCTATTCTTAGTGATTAGCAGAGAGACAGCTATAAGCAAACCAAGCATCTAGGGGGGGAGAGAGAGACTGCATTGTTAGACTTTTCATTCTTTATGGACAAGGCAGAGTGCCCGACTGCGTTTATTTTCTGCTTGATTTTGAGTTAATAAAAGACTAGGATAACTTGCCACCCCGGCTTCTTCGTCATTGCTATCTTTGAACCTTTAACACTGCAAAAACAAGGGACAAAATTTTCAGCATGCCCCGGATGCAGCCCCCACCATTGCCCCCAAAATGGGTCCACCAGACGACCCAGAGGCGTTTGTGTACCAGCGGAGGCGTGTGGCTGGGTGCACCTGATCCCGCTGCTGTCCGGAGAAGCACAGGTGGAGAACCTCATGGCTTATGATAATCTGAAGCGGGCCATTCTTCAACGAGTTGGCAACTCACCGACCATTCGTGATGGCCAAACAGAACGAGACACTGCGTCGTTCAAAACGACTCTTTGGGGACGCTCCCTTAGCGTGCACTTCTGAAGTATGAATGAAACTAATCCAATCCTGATTGGTGTTGCGTCATAACGTGACGGCATAACCGGATGCATAAAAGTAACGCTGACACACACATACACAAAAGGCTGGGTTCACCAATCTCGGTCCTGGAGGGCCACTGTCCCTGCAGAGTTTAGCTCCAACCCTGATCAAACACACCTGAGCAAGCTAATCAAGGTCTTCAGGATCAGTAGAAACTCACAGCTAGGTGTGTTTGATCAGGGTTGGAGCTAAACTCTGCAGGGACAGTGGTCCTCCAGGACCGAGATTGGTGAACCCTGCTCTAAGGCCTCGAGGGGCGTGGCAGGATGACGCAGTGTCTCGTTCCCTTCTCAGGGAGCAAGTGTTAGTCATAACCCGAGACGTTCCCTTTCGAGGGAACTCGCACTGCGTCGTTGAAAAAGACTCTTTGGGGAACGAATGCCTACTAGTCCACACACTGAAATAGGCCTGCCCTGGAGTGAAACTGATTCAGGCACTCAGCTAGGACGATAGCACATGTGCGCCAGGCGTACTAACAAAAGTACGAACCTAATAAAACTGTGCGGGGTAGCCCAACCGGCTGCCTCACAGATCTCCTGTAGGGGTACTCCTGAAAGGACGCCATGCCTCTAGTTGAATGAGCCCTTATAGCCAAAGGTGGAGGCAAATTGCGCACCTTGTAAGCCGAGGCAATAGCCTGAACAATCCAATTACAATTACTTTGCTTGGATGCCGGGAGCCCATTCTTAGGTGACCCAAAACACACTAACAGTTGGTCCGACCTCCTCCAAGAAGAGGACCTCTCGAGATAAATACTCAAAGCTCTGACGGGCAGAGCAAATGGAGCTTCTCTTCTTCTGCAGACACATGAGGTGGAGGATGAAATGCTTGCAGGACTGTAGACCGTGCCGTAACAGAAGGCACCTTAGGCACATAGCCCGGTCTCGGGTACAAAAAGGCCTTAACCAAGCAAGCTGGTGTCACTGCCAGGGCTTTGAGATCTCCCACCCTCTCAAGAGGTAATAGCTAAAAGAAAAAACTATTTGAACGTCAGATCTTTGGGCAAAGCCGACTGAAGGGGTTCGAAGGGGGCCAGGGATAACCATTTGAGAACCACCGCCAGGTGGTTTTATGCATCTAGTTATGCCGTCACATTTTAAGTCACGACGCAACACCAATCAGGATTGGATTAGTTTCGTTCTTACTTCAGAAGCGCACGCTAAGGGAGCGTCCCCAAAGAGTTGTTTTCAATGACGCAGTGCGAGTTCCCTCGAAAGGGAACCAAACTTAAACACTGAACCTAAACAGAAATAAACACAAATGTTACAAATATGGGCTTGCCTCCCGTTGCACAGACAGAATTCGAGACGCTACTGTAAGTGTGAACGGGACATTGAGACTCACACCTGTCAGTAAATGTGGTTGTCTGTCAATCCTAAAAACTGACAGTGTGAACGTAGCTAATTGCTGGAATTTTTTTGCACAGCATCATGTTAAACACACTTTTGTCTATCTTGTCTACACAGTTAAGCCAATTACAACACACCACCCCAACCAACCAATCTGAGCCCATTGCCTGTATCTGAGGGAGTGGTTTCATAGAATCGGGATGTCAACCGGTCGTTCAAATGACAGGGGAGAAAGCGGCTTACAATAAAGGTGAAATTTAGAAAAAAATTAAATTAATTAATTAAGTAGCTGAAGGTAGACTTCAGGACAGGACTAAGATAGACAAAAGTGTAAAAGAAACAGAGACCCTACCTTGGTCGCCCATCATGAGGTGTGCCAGACCTGAAAGGAAAACAAGAGCACAGTCAGCAAAGCATTTGACCAGGAGTAAACAGAGACATCATGATGCTTGAGGATGAGGATGTGATTGAGATAACGCATGAATTAAACACAAGACACAGTTTTATACTAAAAAATAAGCAGTAGCTTCTAACAGCAGTCTCTCCTGAGTGAGGTGTCTGGTATTCTATAGCTATGTTTCCATCCGAAAGTTGTAAAATTAACCTATGTGCAAAATTGAAACATCGCATAAAACATTTGTGAATAAAGCGCCATTTCAATCCAGTGAGCCAAAGAGAACAAAATCGCCACTTCTTGATAAACGCAAAACTGGCACAAGAATAATGGAAGTTGCTTCAGTTGCTTCAGCGTGCAGACGAAACGGCATAAAGATCTTGCTGTCGGAGGCTGATGCGTGCTGGTCTGGGGGTTATTATACTGAACCACTTTGACGACAGACTTTGCTCAGGTATTTCAGAACAACCAAAACAGTATTTCGGGCCTTGTCCACACTAATACGTTTTCATAAAACCTTTGGCCTTCCGTCCACACTGAAACGCCGTTTTCCCCCCAACACTTTTTCCCAAGTGGATACATTTGAAAAAGGCGTTTTCGCGTTGTAATGTGGACTGTGAAAACGGAGGTATTTTGAAAACAATAGATATTAATGTTTATCTGGATTAATGTAGACGTAGCCTACAGATTCTGTGTAATGAGATTGGTCCACTGTTCAGTCCAGTTATGGACATCCATCCATCCTTCCATCCATCCATCCATCCATTCATCCTTCCATCCATCCATCATCCATGCAGCCAGCCATCCATTCATCCTTGCATCCATTCATCCATCCATCATCCATCCATCCATCCATCCATCCAGCCAGCCATCTATCCTTCCATCCAGCCATCCATCCATCCAGCCAGCCAGCCATCTATCCTTCCATCCAGCCAGCCATCTATCCTTCCATCCAGCCATCCATTCATCCGTTGAAATATGGCCACCCATCCATCCATCAATCCTTCCATCCATCCAGCCAGCCATCCATTCATCCATCATCCATCCAGCCATCCATCCATCCATCCATTCATCCTTCCATCCAGCCATCCATCCATTCATCCTTCCAGCCAGCCATCCATTCATCCATCATCCATCCAGCCAGCCATCCATCCATCCATCCATCCATTCATCCTTCCATCCAGCCATCCATCCATTCATCCGTCAAAATAGGGCCATCCATCCATCCTTCAATCCATCCATCCATTCAATCATCCATCCATCCATCCATCCATCCATTCATTGAAATATGGCCATCCTTCCATCCATCCATCAAAATAGGGCCATCCATCCATTCATCCTTCCATCCATCATCTATCAAAAAATATAGCCATCCATCCATCCAATTCATCCTATCCTCTGTAGGATCCTCCGCAGGGATTCTGGAGTTAATTCTTCCAAATGTTGCTAAATAACTACATTGTTTGTTGTAAGGATAATGATTTGTTATCAATAAATGATTACATTGTTGCTGAAATCGAAACTGTACTCTGCTATGATGTAGAAATAGCTATAGTACAGTCAGTACAGATGCCCTGAAATAAATTCATTCAAATGAATAGCAACATATCAAATAACATTTCTGCAGCATAGAGTAAAAGATAAAAAATATAAATCATTGATGCATAAAATTAATCAGAAAGATAGATGTTGAGTAAAAGTCGCCATATTGTGATGTTTGATATCTAGAATTACAGCACAGATCTGTGCATCAGAGTAATTATTTTCCAAAGCAAAGTGATTTGTGTGTGAGAGATGGAGACCGAGCCCAAATCCTGTAATCCTTCCGTCTGATCAAAGTAATGAAAAAAGCTTTTTAAATAATTTAATGGAAAGTTCGAATTTCAAATAATAAGCTGCTTTCTGAGCTTTATATATATATATATATACACTAGATACAGCAGGGTGATAAACAGACTTCAAGCTCACTGATTTATGGTGAAAGATGTAGCTACTGATCTAACTTTATAAACTGTTAAGTAAAATAACACCTCAGATTTTTACAACATGAAAAGCACACATAATCCCTGTATTATTTCATATGAGCTTGAACCAAATGCTTTGACGAAAAGAAGCTGTTATATATAACCCCATGTTGTGACGTGATAAGGCAACAAGCAAACGAAAAGGTGATTTTTCATGTAAATCTGACAGGAGATTTTGTCGATCGCTTGGTTTGCTTCTGCAACGCTATAATGGCACAATCTGTTTATCGTCCCATTTGTGTTGCATGTTTATATCTGATGTGGTAAACAAAGATATTCGTGGCTTTCTATTTTTATTTAGAGCTGAAAAATCGGATTCATTCTAGTGAATCAGTTCATTTGGACGGTTCTTGCAAATGAACTAAATTTCATGACATTTCGGGGATTTTTAAGGTTAATACAACCCTGCTACTCATTCACTGAGGAAATAAAACATCTTTGATAAAATTATAAATGATATTACTGGATAGCTATATATTTCAAAAGATATTGATCCATAGTTATACATAACAAGGAATATTAAGCATTTACTAAGGCCGTTCCAAAGCTACATATATAAGCGAGAAATTATTTACAAAGACAATACATTTGTTTTTAGAAGTTGGTAATTTATAACATTGTCTTGAAAGTTTGTAATGGGGTGTACAACATTCACATATAAATGTTAAACAACAAAACAACACAGAAAATGGCTCCAATCTATTAGTTTCAGTCATACTTTCGATAGGTTTACTCCACGGATAAAAAACAAAACGCACAAATAAACCACACACTCGGGTTTGATTTGGGTTATGCTAGCCTATGTAGCTGTGTTACATAAACTAAAAGAACGTTTATATATAGTATTTTCTTGTTTACTTTAGCTTTTTTACGATTAGCTTGTTCGGCTGTGTTTGATTAGCTTTGTAGCTAAAATCTCCAGGACAGTGACACTTGAGCACCAGAGTTGAGGTTTTTATTTATGCCAAAAACGTGTCCCCGCATTTTGATAATTTTTTTTCACATAGCTGCAACATGGACTTAAAATACTACATTATGAAATAAATACATTAATGGTCATATAAATAAATTCAATACATGATCATAAACTATAGATGTTATTTGATCTGCGTCATCAATGTTTGCGGCGGCCATATTGTTGACGTAGAAACCACGGAAACTGTCAGTCTGTCAATGGACAAGCGAGGTAGCGTTGGGATTATCCATGGTATTATCACTGTTTTTTGTTTTTTAAACAGCGTGATGGTGTTGTGTAATACACGGCTGTTCTAACAACAGCAATAAGAACCTCAGAGTTCGTTTTTATGCGAGAAGTTACCGACTGTCAGAAAACGTGAAGGGAAGGAGACAGGGTTGAGACAGTGCAGGAGAGGCTAGCTAGGATAAATAGGCTACTTTATATGGAAAAGGATTTTTCTTTTCAAGATGTTTCCAAATCTAACTTTGAACCAATTCTACACAATTGCCCATATAACCTATGTATGTATGTATGTATGTTGTCCTTTCAGTTTTTTTCTTGTCCGACTCTCCTGAATGAAAGGCTCATTATTATGCGTGTCTTTGTCTCTCTCGGGTGAGAATCAGCTAATTATACATGATGTGGGCTGGCCTGTTGTTCACGCCCATTCGCATATTGCCTTGGCAAACAGAAAATGTTTTTCCCAATATAACCCAATTCACAGTTTTATGTGAACGATTAGGAGGATGATTTTCAGATCATTGAGAAGAAAAAAACTCTAGGCCACAACATACATTAGTCAAAAGTCTTGTGGACGCATATTTCGTATGTGTTTTGTGCCCTTATTTCAGAAACTTTCATTTTTTGTTTTTTTCAATAATCACACATAAACAATATTCTCTCAAAAATACAAACTTGTACATACATGTTGCTCACATATTATGGTTGCCCTGTTTGTGCTAAATATAGAGTAATTTCACCTGTGGCATTAATATGTTTAAGCAACTTTAAAAAAACCACAAATGTCAGGGCATGTCAGAACATCTCAAGCACCCCAAAAACACCTTGGACCCCAGAGGGTTAATCAATACAATAATGTCTAAGGCTGTTAATTTAATGTAATTAAAGTGACGATTACCAGAGTACATTTGCACATATTGCCTGAACTACATATATGTTTTATATTCTAAAAATGTAAATGGCAGGGTTGTGTTTTATATTATGCACTGTTATTTAGTAGTAGTTACACTTGAGTATTTATTTTTTTCACCATTCTTTTTTCGTTCAATTTCTTCTATGTATTTTATGCTCCTCAACTGATTGTAGGCAACTGGGCACTGGAATGCAATAAATGTTTTCATCTGATATTTCATGATGAATACTTTTGTGTAATACAATGTGTGTAAAGCCATCTCGACTGACAGAGAAATGACTGACAGCAGGCGGATGTACATGTAATAATCATATGACTGCATTCCCAGAAAATACAGGAGGGGATCAAAATTGCATGTATTACCACATACTACTCATCTAAAATAAACTAAGCCTGAGCATCTTTTTGAAATGCAATTGTTATATGTATACTAAACCAGTTAGACTTCACTGCTATACTGGGCTGTTCTCAGTCTGAATATTAAAATTAGGGGTGAGAACTCCCAATAATATGACGATTCAATTGTATTGCGATATTTGAGCCCTCAATAAACGGCTCTGGGCATTCGTGAACCACGCCTCAAATACGAGAAAATGAACATGCGGTTCCCAGACCTAATTAATTAAATCACTAATTAAATAATCTAACTAATTAAAATCACTTTTATCATGTTCATTAAAGGTAACTTAGAATAAGGCTGTTTTCATTAACACTACATTATGCATTATCCACCGAGCGCCTTTACAGCATTGATTAATCTAATTACGGTAATCTAATCTATTAACATTAAATTGTGCATTAAAGGGATAGTTCACTTTGAAATTAATTTTTGATATGTTTTATCTTACCTCAAGGGCATCCAAGATGTAGGTGTCTTTGTTTCCACAGTATTTTCAATTTTGATATTTTTAGGTCAAACCGTTGTTGTCTGTCAGTCATATAACGCAGGTCTATGGATCTCCTAAAAGAGCAGCACAGAGAAGTCAAAATTAAACATGATTTAATGACTCGTAAATGTAAGTACACATTGATGGCCTAAGACACGAAACGAGCGGTTTGTGTGAGAAAACCAACAGTATTTATATCGTTTTACCTCTTGTAATCATAGCCATAACAAAATGATCTGACGGCACGGGCGCTTCAGTCTGATTCAGATCACTGTGATTACACGAGGTAAAACGATATAAATACTGTTGGTTTTCTCACACAAACCGCTCGTTTCGTGTCTTAGGCCATCAATGTGTACTTACATTTACAAGTCATTAAATCATGTTTAATTTTGACTTCTCTGTGCTGCTCTTTGGTGGACCCCCTTAGGCCGTGTGTCCACCAAAGTTTTGGCAGCAGCACAGCGTTTTTTCCGTTGAAACGTTTCGTTGCTATGATACAGAATATCCGCAGCAGTTTGAATGTTGTGACAGTTGGTCGGTGTGGTATTAGTCCCGCCCCTCCTCCACTGTGATTGGACGGCTGGGTAAGAAGTGACAGTGATGAGCGCTGCGTTTTATCCAAAGTTGAATATTCAACTCCCAGCGACCAGTAAAAACGCCGGGCGCTCTGCGCTTCAGCGTGAAAAAAATGCTCAGCGCCTCGGTACGCTCATGGCGTTTAAAAAACGCGGCGCTCCCATTGAAAACAATTGAAAACATACGCCAGGCGCGTGGAAAAACGCTTTGGTGGACCCCCTTAGCCTCCAGTGTATGACTGATAGACAACAAAGGTTTGACTGAAAAATATCAAAATTGAAAATACTGTGGAAACAAAGACACCTACATCTTGGATGCCCTTGAGGTAAGATAAAACATACCAAAAATTTATTTCAAAGTGAACTATCCCTGTAACATTATATGATGCATTAGTTAAAGGGTTAGTTCACCTAAAAATGAAAATTCTGTCAGTATTTACTCACCCTCATGTTGTTCAACCCCATAAGACCTTCGTTCATCTTCGAGACACAAATTAAGATATTTAAGATATTAAGATCGCTCCTGCATACTAGTCCATAGGCTTCTTGAGGGAATGACTCTTGCTGGCATCGAAAAGTCATTAAAGACATCGTTAAAATAGTCAAAGTGACTACAGTGGCTCAATCTTAACTTTATCAAACGACGAGAACACTTTTTGTGCGCAAAAACAAACAAAAATAACGACTTTATTTAAACTATTCACTTCCTTCTCCATGAGCCTGTAGTCAGTTAGCGTAGTGTGATTGCGTAAAGCTACGTCACACGAAGGCTCACTATTGGCCGACGCTGGTCATGTGTGTGATGCGTGTGACGTACAATAACAGAAGCTTACGCTATTAAACTAGTAACCTGACTCGCGCAGAGGGAGAAATAAACCAATAGTTGAAATAAAGTCGTTTTTTTTGTTGTTTTTTGTGCACAAAAGTATTCTCGTCATTTGATAAAGTTAAGATTGAGCCACTGTAGTCACTTGGACTATTTTAACGATGTCTTTAATGACTTTGAGGACAGCAAGTCATTCCCTCAAGAAGCCTATGGACTAGTATGCAGGAGCGATCTTAATATCTTAAATATCTTAATTTGTGTTGCGAAGATGAACGAAGGTCTTACGGGGTTGAACAACATGAGGGTGAGTAAATACTGACAGAATTTTCATTTTTGGGTGAACTAACCCTTTAACATGTAGGTGATGATTAACCCCTCTTTATAATATTTATTAACTCAAATACAAATATATTAGCTGTTTCTTCCTCCTGAGAAATATTGTTTGAGGTGAGATCAATCTTCAGGAGGTTTCTGAATGCAGATTTCCTACCTTCACTGCAGTCCGCTCCCCGATAGCCGGTTCCCGAGCAGTCGCATGTCGGCTGTCCGTCCTCAAGCCTGCACACGCCTCCGTTCAGGCACGTGTTGTCGGATCCGCAGAGCTCCGCGTCGACCCCGGCGCTGTTCATGAGGACCGGCTCAGACCCGTTCACCTCCAGCGCTGCTATCCAGCCCGTGAAGGGACCGTGATCCTTCACCGTGTCCGAAGTCAGCGGTAACGACTCGGGAGGAATCCCGCCTAAAAACAAGTGACTGAAGACGGTCATATCCCGGCGTTTGGACTTAACCTCCACACGCTTCCTCTCCTCATCAACGGCGAGGGTCGTGTTTCTGAAGTTCCTCCTGATCGTGACCGAATGCCACTGGTTGTCGCTGATGGGAACATCTGAGAGCACGCAAGCCGGCTCGGCACAGAAAACGGAAAAGCACAGTCGGAGTTTCCCCGCGTGTATGTGCAGCTCGAGGAAATCGCAGAAGCCTTCGTCGTCAAAGTACACCAGAAGGCCCGTTAGACTCTTGGTTTTGACGCTGAAGCTCATCTGACTCTCACAGCAGGCGTTCCACATGGGAAACGAGGCCCACTGTCCGTCTGACCCCGTGAACCTGAGCACGGCCCCGGCGTCCAGCGCACACACCAGCAGCCCGACCCACAGAACACCAGCGATCAGAACCATGATCAGGGTGTGTTCACACTTGGACCCGTCTGTCTAATCGTTTTGTAAACAAGTCTTTAATGCATGTGTCCATACAAAGAAGGGAAAATAAACCTTCCTAACCTGAGAAAAACGTGACAACTACACTGTAAAAAAATATTGTTGGTTTAACTAAAAAAAGTAAGTAACCTGGGTTGCCTTAAAATTTTAAGTTGATTGAACTGGAAAAAGTGAGTTAATACGATGGAGATTAATTTAACCATCAGAAACTGAAAATTATATGTTTTCTGAACTAAATAAATTATTTAAGTTGATTTGACAAAAGAAAAAATGTTGTGATTACTACACTGTAAAAAAATATTGTTGGTTTAACTTAAAAAAGTAAGTAACCTGGTTGCCTTAAAATTTTAAGTCCATTGAACTGGAAAAAGTGAGTTAATACAATGAATGAGATTAATTTAACCATCAGAAACTCTGAACTAAATAAATTATTTAAGTTGATTTGACAAAAGAAATAATGTTGTGATTACTACACTGTGAAAAAATATGGTTGGTTTAACTAAAAAAAGTAAGTAACATGGGTTGCCTTAAAATTTTAAGTTGATTGAACTGGAAAAAGTGAGTTAATACGATGAAGTAGATTAATTTAACCATCAGAAACTCAAAATAATAAGTTATCTCAACTAAATAAATTATTCTAAAGTTGATTTGACAAAAGAAAATATGTTGTGCTAACAAATCTTGAAAATATTTTTTACAGTGCAGCCAAATCTCTTTTACATATTCCAGCACCTGTATAACTCATCACGGATGAGAACATATTCCACATTATTGTCCATATCAAGTGTCTCAAAGATTATGTGTAAAGCCGCAGTCTGGATAATGGTGTCGGGTTTCGTTTCTTATGTTTGCGTGTAATCTTACATACTTCATGAAGCACAAACACACTAGCTCATCCTTCGATTTCAAAACAGAAAACGGTCCGGGTTACATCGCGTTCACACTGACTAAACAAAAACCGAACATCCAAAGCAAGGTTGTGTGCTGGGTTCAATGTGTACATATGGTGTTGTTACCAGCTGAGATGTGGTAAAGAGCTTATCAATTCTGTAAAGAAGATCCGCTGCGAGGAGACGCGGTTCGGTCCGCTAGTGTGGTTCGGATGGCAGCGTTCACATTTATTCAAATGAACCAAAGATCGCTTTAATTCAACAAAACCTGCCAAGTGTGAACACAGCCTTAGAAAGACTGTTTCTGGGACATATCGTGACCACAATCTCCAAATCCAGAATCAAACAGTTGTTTAGAGACATGTTCTGGTCCTCGTGTTATGATGTGCCATCACTGTTCGTGGGCTAGGTCCTGTTGTAGATGAGGCAGGCGGACGTCATCTCTGATCCCTCAACACTGGAGAGAAACACAACAACAGTTCAGCTGATAATCAGGGCTGTGTTTCCCAGAAGCAACGTTAGACAGTCGAGATTTACGTCATTATCAGCAGTTTAACGAGTCGCTGTTTCCCGAAACCATCGTTCAAATGAACATTCGCAAACATCATCGCAGAGTTGTGTGAGATCTCGATCTACAGTTAGAAGCAGTTTCATGTTGCATGTGGACTCAATTAAATCCTGATCTTGAGCAAAATCACTGCAATCAGTATCTTTAATTAAGAATACATACAAACGTGTTTACGTCTTTCAGTTTGTCGAGAGATCTAAAGTGTCGTGTTTGAAGAGTGTGCGTGTGTTAACGAGCTCTAGTGCGCAAGAACAGGCGAATCTGGATATAAAGGAAAATAACTGAGAAATAATCCTCAGATGCATTTCTGTAATTTATAGAAAAACATCTAGCGTTAATTAGATCTCAAACAGATTCATAAAAAGTAGTTATTTCTCCACCACGTGCGTGACATCATTAACCAGCGTTTGCGATAATATGGTTTCGGGAAACGGTCGTGACTATAGATGATGCATCGTCCTACAGTAGTGAAGCTGTACGGGACACACACCCCAGACTGACAGTGCTCGATCGTTTACGACGGATCCAGCTAATTAGTGGAATCGGGAAAGTTAACGGATCATGAACCGGATTTCAGAATGATCAGACTCATAGTAAGGTTTCAAACGCGAAGCTTATGGATCATTTATTCAGTTATACACTCTAAAAAATGCTGGGTTGTTTTAACCCAATTTTGGGTCAAATATGGACAAACCCGAAATGTTGGGTTAAAAATGTAATGTAAAAATTTAACCCAACGGCTGGGTTAGTCCATATTTGACCCAAAGTTGGGTTAAAACAACCCAGCATTTTTTTAGAGTGTATATACTTCTTTATTATTATTTTAATTCCAAATAAATTCAGGAGTTTCTTGAGCAAATGTGTCCATTACAGTTAATGTGCATTTCTTTTTGTATAATAAAAGAGAGAATGATCCACGTGGAGATGTTGTTCACATAAAGGCGTTTACAGTACATGCGCACATAGCTTTTCATGAAATAACCAAAGATGTAAAACCAATGCAAGCCAGGGGCGGAGCGAGGGGTGGCTAATTGGGCTAATTTTGTTGTTATTCATTAATGAAGGAACAGTGTGATAAACTGTTACCCAAGTTATTCACAACATTATCGTTATTATACTTAATTTTTCTGAACATGTACAAATGTCTTAACATAAATAACTTTCAGTGGTGTATGAGATAAATAATAAGCTTTTATGTTATTTGTCTTGTTTTCATGCTTGTTTTGAGGTGAGAAGAGCTCTATCTCATCTATTAACCAGATGATGAATTTAGTTGGAAAATACCAAACCGGTCTCATCCCAAGACGTCGTTTTGGGACGTCTTTTGACCATACGTCAATATTCGCCTTTTTAGGGCCCCCTTAAACGTCGGTAGATGAGGTTATGGGATCCTAACTCTACCCCAGACCTAAACCTAACCCTAAACCTAACCCGTCACCTAACTGACGTTAAAGGTAAAGCGTCAGTTGTATGACGGCCCGGGATCGCCATCTACCGACGTTTAAGGGGGCCCTAAAAAGGCTGATATTGACGTATGGTCAAAATACGTCCCAAAACGTCAGTTATATGACTTTTTGGGATGAGACTGTGTTAAAAATACTGACGACAAACATGAGTTTTACTGTTGTTTTCACCACCGCCTTCACTAAAGCGTGTGTGTTTGCGGTAACGGTTTACAATAAGGTGCCATTAATGCATTACCGGACATTAACTAACAACAAGCAATATGTTTGACACAATATTTAATAATCTGTGTTTACGTTAATAGAATAGCTGTTCATTTTAAGTTCATAAAAATGCGGGTTTATTAAATAATATTAACAGATACAACTTTTGATTTTAATAAGGCATTTAAATTAACACCAATATTAATATGTACTTTAAAAGCATTTTATTCTTAGTTCATGTGACCTAATGTAGTTAACTAACTGAACCTTATTGTGAAGTGTTACCAAACACTTCATTTTTACAGTGTCGTTGCTACACATGCTACATGTACTGTAGTAATTAATTAAAAAGTAATTAATAACAATATCAATTATGCTTAAATAACATGCAATTAACCCAGAACCAAACCAAACCCAAAACCTGACCCTATCGTAGTACATGTAGATACTTATTATTACTCAGTACTTAAATGTATAATTACACTGTAATACCTTAAAATAAAGTGTAACAACACATTTATATGACAGAAATGGTCACAGATTTGATTTGTTGTCATTTCATTAAGTAAACTTGTTTAATTTTTTGTGAACGTTTTTCCTCATAAATGTTCTGCTTTGTTTATTTAGTGGTAATTAATGGATATATTTTAGAAGTTGTTTTTTCATTTAATTATTTAGCTGATGCTTTTATCCAAAGCGATTTACAATTGCTCTATATGTCAGAGGTCGCACGCCTCTGGAGCAACTAGGGGTTAAGTGTCTTGCTCAGGGACACATTGGTGTCTCACAGTGGATTCGAACCCGGGTCTCTCACACCAAATGTGTCTTCTCCACTGCGCCATCACCACCCCACATGTTTTTCCATGTTTCATACAAACCTATTAGTCAATAAACACCAGATGACCACTGTGACAACATGCCCCACTACAGTTCCTGTAAGTGTTACATAGTTTTGTAAACAAATCTTTAATGCATCCGTCGGAAAATAAACCTGATATTTACTGGAGAAAAACGTGACAACTAGCCAAATTTCTTTTACATATTGTAAATCATCACGGAGAACATATTCCACATTATTGTCCATATCAAGTGTCAAGTGATTATATGTAAAGCCTAAATCAATAACGCAGTCTGGTGTCGGGTTTCGTTTCTTATGTTTGCGTGTAATCTTATATACTTCATGAAGCACAAACACACCAGTTCATCCTTTCATTTCCAGATGTATAATAATAATAATACAGATGCGCAGTGTTTATTAGCCATGAATGGAGATCCAGATGCGATAGAAACGCCCCATACGCAGCAAAACTCCGACACGAGCTCATATTCCTCAAGACAACATATATATTCATGTTGAATGTATGTTATAAAGCGTATGCCATCATCAAACAGCTTTAATCGGGCTCATCCGAGTCCATTCGAGACAGAAAGCTATTAAGCATTTCGCACAAAACCGAAACTATATTAATCGTGGCACAAGCGCATCTGTTTCGGTCACTAAACATATATGGGATCCCTGCAGAATATAGACGCACATCATTTACATAAAGATCGTTCAAATGACGTAAAAATTGGCTTATTACCCAGCACTCCGTGGCTCTCGTCGGGCGGTGAAGACGATAGTTTTGCAAAGTTACAGTTGAGGTGAAGCTGTGAGGAGAAAATGTCTGCTAAATAAAGCCCTCGATGATGTGGACCCTTACCTCAGACTGTGATGACGCGTTTGACCTGGTTTAACGGTCATCAACATCGTAAATCCTGCAAAGTTTAGTTATATTTTCTTTTTATGTATAAATTTATATACTTTAACTGCTGTGACCTGTGAGGGTGTTTAACGGACCCTTTGCCCAGGCTGTGATGATGCGTTGTGGTTTTAACGGTGATCAGCATCCTAATTCCTGTAAAGTTTATATAGCATATATATATAAATTCATGTACATAATTTATAATACTACAACTTGTATCATATTATCTTTGCATCAAATGGTAGCCTATAAAAAAACTGCTTAACCTGCCGTGAGTGTTTCTAACACAGCGGCTGCGAGTGACGGAAAAAAATAACATTATATCCGACTGTCATTTCTATAAATTTTTTTCTCTTTTAACAAGTTGTGGAAACACTATTGTGGAGTTTTTCTTTTGCTATTTGAGCAAATTGGAACACACAAAAATATATATTTATCGTAATCTTATACACACTCCGGGTCACGTGACGCGACTTTCGGCAGCACCTCGGACAGCGCACGCTTGAAGCTTGGTGACGTTTGGGTAAAAATGACGTAACCGCGGTGCGGGGGGTCGTATTCACCTAATTTTTCACCGCCCACACCTCGATGACGTAATTCTTTGCTGATTTTAACCCTAAATCAGGATAAATGATAACTGCAAATCCACCTTGCTGCCTGGTGTCCAGTTGTTTCTGTGAATTGCAGCAATGGATTTGCTTCTGTTCCGTAGCTTTCTGCAGTCTGTAAAAATATACCTCAGATTTCTAGTCTAATCTAGTTGTTCAGTCAATCGCAAAGCTCTTTCCCGTTAACAAGATAACAAATCAAAAAGCATAACGAGAAATCGGAAAAACAAAATAGCAAATCAGAAAACACAACAACAGGTTAGACAAAACGGAAAATAGTGGCGAATGGAATACTGACCTCTGATTGGACGAGACATGCAGAAGTAGTACAGCAGACTGCGGCAGGAGAAAGTCGAATCGCGTCATCAACATCAACAAATCCAGAGGAGCAAAGAAACGAATGACACTAATAGCAGAAAAATCAAAGGATTAAGTAAACAGGTTACTTTTTTTTTTTTTTCTCAGCGCGTTTTCGGAAAAAGTACAGTACAGTGGCTGTCTGTTCAGGGTGTGCTGAAATTAGTAAATTAACTCATAGAATCTTTACGGCTTATAATTTTAGAATAAAGTTAAAATATAAATATACCTGACCAGATATCCAACACTTTTCCAAACGGCAGAATTAGGATGAAATTGAATAGGCTACTTGTCACTCTGAAGTGTGCTGCGTGAGAAAGCCATGGGAGACAGAATGCAGATTAACAGTCTTTAATTGAAACAAGGCAGGACCACATAGGCCGATCAACAGAGAAAACTCTTCTTAATTCTCTTGAAGGTGGCTGAGCCGCAACGGCAGATCGAGATAAATTTCAATTCAATCTTGAGGAATTGAGACAGACTCCCAGCAGAGTTTGCGAGTAGCTGATGGATTAGCAGAGGAGAAGGTGAAGCGCAGACTTCTCACGTCTTCTCTGGATCTTTAGCTGGTAACCGCTCAGGACTGGTAGGTGCAGTCAGATCTCAGACGACTGGACTGAAAAGAATCAAAAGCAGTATCTTACATGACGGTCAACAATAATCGGACAAACTACACTGAAACACATGACTAGAAATAGAGAGTAGCTAATGAAGAAAGATGGAGAACACCGGTGTGATTAATTAATTAGAGAACCAGCTGGGAAAGAAGTAGTAAATGAGGAGAGCGAGCGATAGAGAACTGAGACAGAAAGCAACCACAAGAGGGAGAGAGACCGACAAAACAAGAGAAGAGAGCCAGGATCATGACACTACTTAAAGAAATATAACGTTAGCTAACGTTAGCATGTACTGTAATTTACACAAGATTGCAAACTCCATGAACTATCGGTTATTCTAACGTTATTCTGTCCCTTCAGTTAGACAGAACAATATTAGACATTAAGGAAATAGTAAATGCGTTTGAATAATTACGTGTCTTATTTTGCTGAGGTAAATTAAACCCAATTCTCTCCTTCCTCGATGAAGAATGAGATGGTCCAACGGTCGGTTGAAATTTAAAAGGCTGCGTTTCGCGCTTCGGGGCAGTGACGACGAGTACATAATATGTCGTCCAGTGGTTGTCCAGACACTCTCGGCACAACCTGAAATGACCCGCCTAAACGGTGGTTCAATGTTAATATTGTGACAACGTTGTAACAACCACCTTCACCACACAACGCAATTAGAGCAACCTTTTGGCCATGTTGTTGTAAACGTTATGCCAACAACGTGTTTGCTGCTGGGATTCTTCTGGAACAAGAACAAATGTGGGCGGGGCTTGATTGTGTATGTGGGGAGTTGATTGGATCCTTTGTTGTTTGCTATTGGTGGATCTTATATGAGTGACAGGTTGCCCCGCCCACATCATCAGAGAAGAGATTCTACAAGAGGAAGATTCAAGATTACCAGGAACATCAATTTACAAACACAGACAAATCATTTATAATAAACCCTGCAATATATTACATTAAAAAAAAGATTTATCCATTTTGATTTCATGCTAAATTTGAAACCCTAATGACCCAAAATGACAGATCAGTTTTAGAGTAACAACTTGCGTGAGTAATCACTTAGTTTATTATTATTATTATGATAATTGACATTTCATTTAAATTACCATAAATGTAATGCAAGTCATTACAACAAACCAAAAGTAGAGTTCTTGTGTTTTATAATAGATATTACAATCACTCCATGTGAGATGAATGTCCTCATAAAAGCACTGAAGAAAACAGATGATCGTTTTATTTTAGTTGAAAAAAAGCAGTCATACAGTACAATCTCTTTTTTTATATAAACAAAACATGTACAATTATTTTAAAAGAAATTGAAACAGTTATGAATTGCACACTTACACCTTGTGTTTGGTTTATAAGCACTTCATATAAACCCATACAAAAGAAAAGAATCGAGAGGCCACGGCAGCCTAAAGCACACTTCAATAATAAATATGTTCTGACAGCAGGAAGTGTGATCCGACTCTACTTGACAGCCTTGCGCAGCTCGGCCAGGACCCAGATGGCGAAGCTGAGCAGCGCCACGGACCCGGACTGGTGTGTCGCGGCGAGTGGAGTGGGGACGTACAGCAGGAGAGTGCTAATGCCCAGAGCCACCTGAGGAACACACACACACACATCAGATCCACACCTAGACGCCGCTTTAATAATGAAAACACTCTCCAAAGTGGATACATCTGAAATGCCTTTTACGCGTTGCATATGGACTGTCAAAACGGAGGCATTTAAAAACGACGACGTAAGTTTAGTCATGTGACGCGTATTGAAACAGATATTCATGTTTATACCGGTATTGTGCCTGTTATGTGCCGTTCACTTTCAATCTGTTGCTAAAATATGTAACTTCACACACTCTTCATATCAGAGTCCTGCACAGATGACAGAATATCCACACACACCTGCTGTCCTGCGGTGAAACACGAGCAGTTTCAGACCAAACATATCATGGTGAGTGTGTGTCAGGATCATGGTGGATCAGTGAGTCAGGAGATATTTTGCTAAATAAAATTAGTCTATTTTGGAATATTATGCAATATTTTGGAAAACGCTAGTGTGGACGCAGGAGAGTGTTTTGAAATCAAAATTGAATGTGTGTGTGAGTGTGCAAGTGAGTGAGTGTGTAAGTGAGTGTGTGAGTGAGTGAGTGAGTGAGTGAGTAAGTGAGTGAGTGAGTGAGTGAGTGAGTAAGTGTGTGAGTGAGTAAGTGAGTGTGTGAGTGAGTGAGTGAGTGTGTAAGTGAGTGAGTGAGTGAGTGAGTGAGTGAGTGTGTGAGTGAGTGAGTAAGTGAGTGAGTGAGTGAGTAAGTGTGTGAGTGAGTGTGTGAGTGAGTGAGTGAATGAGTAAGTAAGTGTGTGAGTGAGTGTGTGAGTGAGTGTGTAAGTGAGTGAGTGTGTGTGTGAGTGAGTAAGTGTGTAAGTGAGTGAGTGACTGACTGACTGAGTGAGTGAGTGAGTGTGTAAGTGAGTGTGTGAGTGAGTGAGTGAGTGAATAAGCGAGTGAGTGAGTAAGTGAGTGAGTGAGTGAGTGTGTGAGTGAGTGAGTGACTGAGTGAATGAGTAAGTAAGTGTGTGTGTGAGTGAGTGTGTAAGTGAGTGTGTAAGTGAGTGAGTGTGTGAGTGAGTAAGTGTGTAAGTGAGTGAGTGACTGACTGAGTGAGTGAGTAAGTGTGTAAGTGAGTGAGTGTGTGAGTAAGTGTGTAAGTGAGTGTGTAAGTGAGTGAGTGTGTAAGTGAGTGAGTGAGTGAGTGAGTGAGTGAGTGAGTGAGTGAGTGAGTGAGTGAGTGTGTAAGTGAGTGAGTGTGTGAGTGAGTGAGTGAGTGAGTGAGTGGCTTATTTACCTGTGTGTAGGCCATGGCGGTGAGACAGCCGATGGCGATCTTTGCTCTGCGCGGTAAATGTGTGCGTCTGGATAACAGGTAGAGTCCTGTGATGGCCGTCAGCGAGCCGATGGCCTGCACACACACACACACATCAGCTAAATCACATGCACTTCAACACACACACACTCACTCTCACACACACAGTACCAGAATGCGGTGGTCGAACTGCACAGTTGTGGGATTCTCGAACATGTTCTTGATGGTGGGGGAGAAGGCCAGCAGATCGTCAGGGATCCAGCACTCGCCCATCTTCGGGAACGAGTTATAAACCAAACCTGCGTCCAGTCCAGCGACAAAAGCCCCTGTGAGATACACACACTCAGCATTACTAGCGTTACACACACTCAGCATCAAGAGTTACACCTTTACATCAGAGTAAACTGCTCCTCCTGACGTCACTGCTTAAAGGAAAGATGCAAGTCGCTTTTCCTCAAATTTCCTCCATGTAAACAGTGCTTTACTGAACAATACGAATACCAAATATTTAAAAATATTAAAGATTAAATAGGTGTACATAAGATAAAACTATAGTATTTAGTGTGTTTCCTCAGTAAACGTCAAAACAGCTGGTTAACATGTGGGAGGGGCTTTAACTAACCAACTCCTGCACTAATCAAACATTGGAATAAATTCAAGTACATATACATAAATATATATGCAAATGAGCTGCTGCATATCGGAAGCACAAGCTGTAAAGGCTCCGCCCACTTCTGGAAAGGGGGCGGAGCCTTTTTTTAAGCTTGTGCCTTCGATACTCAAATACTAAATACTAGTAAATACTAAATACTAAAATATGCCAAATACTAAAATATCTGTTTGATTTTGATTATCATCTGTATCACAGTCACGGTTTGAAATCACTGGTGTTTCTGACGTCACAAACGACCTTGTAACCAATCAGATCAACGTGTGATCGTCAAACAGTGGATCTCTGAGTGAGTGAGTGAGTGAGTGAGTAAGTGAGTGGAGGTGGGGCTCATTTGCATATTAACAGAACCATGCATACTAAATGAGGTGAGGGTGTCGAGTTACATTCAAGATATTTTAGGCATGAAAGAAATTAAAGGAAAAAACTTTTAAAAGTGTAATTTTGGTGATTAAAGATCTTAAGGTATACAGTGATTGACAACTGAGGGACTTTAAGGTCGTCATGATACAAAAATGATGTCCGTCTTCTCTGATGTTACAGTGAAACGGCGTCTCAAAAGCAGAAATAAACTTGATTTTGTCAATCTATAATTCATTGGATCGTTAAAAGTGTTGTCGAGCTGTCGAGTGCCAAGCTGCAACATGATTTAAAAAAATATATTCAGAAATTAATCCTTTATAATAAACACTGCAACATACAAGTCAGGTGATGCATTTGCTGGTACCTGAGAGAGCCGTGAGGAACACCAGACCGCCTGTAGCCTTAGCAAACCTCCTCAGATGAAGCATCTGCCGGCTGTCAGGAATCTGCAGCGAACAAGAGCAGAGTAAGAGCTGAGTAAGAGTGGTAACATACGTTTATGTAACACCGTCAGCAGGGTTTGAAATTAACTTTTTCACTCACCATCCAATTTGGCTAATACATTTTTTTTCAGAACTTACATTAGCCCAAAACAAGGAGGAAGAAACCACTCTGTCACAGCTTTTATATACAATAATCATTTGGCAAGTTTACGACCATTCAGAACTTCTACTGGCAAAAAAATAAAATTAATAAACTAGATTAACTACACCACATTTAGTGTATTTATGATCAAATTTAATTTGGCTTTCATACTATTATTTCTTACTCAAACACAATCCTCATCCAGCATCTCCTCTTCCTCTTTCCTCCTCATCAGCACAAACGTGTTTTATGTGCACAGATCAATACAGGACAGAGAACATGGAGGATGCTGGGAAATAGCAGTGTCTTTTCTGTTAAGCAAATGCTTTTTAATCTTTTCTATAGCTTTAATGCAAATGAACAAGCGAGACGTTATTAGTCGTGTAGTGACGTGTGTGTGTGTGTGTGTGTTCAAATAATCCAGATATGAGCAGATCTGTGTAATACGCAGTTTTTAATATATCACTCAGTGTTTGTTCTTTCTGTGCAGATTTGTCTTACTAAAACTTCTGTTCAGCAAAGTGAGTACACATAATAAGTATCCCACCAAACTGGCTCGTGATTTGACCGCGAAAGCCGCCAACCGTCACATTAGGCAAGTGTTAATCTCAAACCCTGAGCGTCAGACCAGCAGAACCAGCATGTGGAGGCTCATCTTTACCCTGTTGTGGGGCAGCATGAGAGTGAGGCCGGTCCAGAGACTGGCGCAGTACAGCAGCAGAGCCGAGCCCAGGTGAGCCGCCAGCCGGTACTGACTGACCCGGGGGACATCGAACGACTCCGGCTTCTCCTCAAGCCCGCTCTTCACCATAAACCAGCCCAGGAGACCCTGAACATGAGACCCGGTCACTCAGCACAATCTCAACTGACTGACACAGGGAACTGCTACAGCATCATACATATAACGTGTGCATATAATACATTTTAAAAATCTTAAAGGAGTAGTTCTCTTTTGAAAAAACTTTTGCTGATAATTTACTCGCCCCCATGTCATCCAAGATGTCCATGTCTTTCTTTCCTCAGTCGAAAAGAAATTAAGGTTTTTGATGAAAACATTCCAGGATTTTTCTCCATATAATGGACTTCAATGGGGTCCAAACAGTTCAAGGTCCAAAAGACAGTTTCAGTGCAAACTGTTCAAAGGGCTTTAAACGACACCAGACGATGAATAAGGGTCTTATCATGCGAAACGATCGCTTATTTCAAAACTTATTCCAAAAATGTAACTTTTCTAAGGACAAATGCTAGCCTTGCTCTATTCTGTGAGGCGCGTTTGTAACGTCACGTAATACGTAATTACGTTCAAAAGGTCACGGGCGACGTAGCCGGAAGTACAGAATCAAAATCGTCCGACATCGTTGTTTTACCTTTTAATTCCTTTTTTTGTAAACGGCGTTTGAGTTAGTTTGCACGTTCAACCTATGCGTTCAACTTGTAAACACTGACTCTGTACTTCCGGCTACGTCGTTCGTGACCTTTTGAACGTAATTACGTATTACGAGACGTTACAAACGCGCCTTACAGAATATGAATGAAACCTTTATTGCCCCAAGGGGGAATTTGTTTTACACTCATGGGAACCACAATAAACATAACCACAAAAAACATAGAATAAAGATAAATAAAAAAAGAATAAAGGCAAAAGTGACATGGAATATATCAATTTGACAACTTAAGAAATCAATAAATAAATATATATATTCAGTAATACCCTTTTAAAAAAACCTCTAAAATATTCCGCAGCTTAAAGGAATCAATAAATAGATATATATTCAATAATGCACATTAAAAATAAATCTATGTGCCCATAGATGATTCGTTAAGTAGTTGAATGCTCCTAGGCACAAATGAAGTGATGTGTCGTTTAGTTTCATCACAGAATAGAGCAAGGCTAGCATTTGTCCTTATAAAAGTTACATTTTTGGAATAAGTTTTGAAATAAGTGATCGTTTCGCATGATAAGACCCTTATTCATCGTCTGGTGTCGTTTACAGACATTTGAAGCTGCACTGAAACTGTTATTAACTGTCTTTTGGACCTCGGACCGTTTGGTTCCCATTGAAGTCCATTATATGGAGAAAAATCCTGGAATGTTTTCATCAAAAACCTTCATTTCTTTTCGACTGAAGAAAGAAAGACATGGACATCTTGGATGACATGGGGGCGAGTAAATTATCAGCAAAGGTTTTTTAAAAGTGAACTACTCCTTTAACTCAGAATTATAAAACCAAACGTCACAATCTGCACCTTTGTATTTGTAATTCTGTGGCGTAATCGAGCTTGCATTGATATTTCATAGCATGACTGGTTACCTGGAAGACGACAAAGCCACAAAGACCCAGAACTCGCGGCTTCATGGAGCGGCTGAAGAAGCCTCTCCTCCAGAAATACGCCGCGGGGAGAATGTACGCCAACCCCACCAGCCGGCCCCACATGCGGTGACCCCACTCCATGTAGAAGATGAACTTAAACTCCGTCAGGGTCATGTCGTGGTTCATGCTGTTGAAAACAGGCAGCGATGTGTGAAGGCAATCTGCACGTTATCAAACACACTTCAGTTCACTTCAGAATTTAAATTACTGATAATTTACTTTTAAACTATTATTATAGTTTATATACTTTTAAATGCTCGTCTTGCACTAGATGTGATCCGAACCTTAATCGTGTGACATTGTTGTTTTACCTTTTTTTTGTTGTAAAGGGTGTTTGACTCAGTCTTTGCATGTTGCTTTGTAAACACTGGGTCGGTTCTTTTGCCTATGTCCCGCTTGACCTTTCACCCTGATTATGCATCGCAGAGCTAGTGCAAGATGAGCATTTGTGGTTTAAAGTATATAAATGTGTATTTTGTTGTAAATGTCGCTGGTTTGTCTAGATCAGACTCTTATTCCTCGGCTGGATCGTGTCGAGACTTTGAAGCTGCACTGAAACTCACATCTGTAGGGCCCTATAAAATCCGTTTTATTTTTTCCCAAATTCCGTTTTATTTTTTCACAAATTCCTTTTTTTCCGTTTTAATTTTTGGGAATTCAGTTTTTTTTACCCTTTACCGTTATTTTAGTTGTAAAAAGAGTGTGGTTTTAATGTTAATGATTAAATGTACACAAATAAAATAGGCATTTACTTCTAAAATGACAAATACTGCATGATGCAGCATAACACTGCACTCTAAGGTCTTCAAGTAACAACAAAATATGCTTATGAGCTTTAAACTGTCCAGTAAAATAAATTATATTACTTTATATAAGTTAAAATAAAAGTCACACTCTAGCTGCGTCGTAATGTGCATACTATCCATCCTAAATAGCATGGGCGAGGCTAGCCCCTTTTTAGGGGTGCTTCAGCACCCCTAAAAAGGAGCTCAGCACCCCTAAAACTTGGAGCAAGAAATGTTGTTATTCTAAAAATTTTGTTCGTCTTTGACACGGTTAAATAATGTCCAAAACATAGTTTGTGGTTTAAAATGAAATGAAAATATTTCTCTTCTTCTATGTTACTTATTTGTACCTGCACCGCTCAGCACGGCCGTCATCCAGCGCGAAACACACGTAGAGTTATAAGAATCCGGGCCGTTAGGTGGTTTTGTGAATCAACTGAGACGCTCCAGAGCTGTGTCTCACACTTTTTTTCCTTTCAGTTGTTCCGATTCCGAAACCATGTCGGTGAGTACTGGAGTCAGCATCCTGAATCACCATGGTACAACTATAAGTGTTTATTTTCGGACTGTTTTAGTCTAGCGGGCCGGTCGGAAAAAATCTATACATTGCAAGTTCGCCATGCGCCCAAGCGAGGGGGAACAAAAACATTTTTTTTTTTTTTTTTTTTTTGCATTTTCGATAACGGAGCGTATATTTGCAGTAAGTGCCTGTCTTTCTAGTAAATAGATGCACGTCACAGAGTAAGTACAGTGGCGTAGGTCGTAGTGCGTGAGTGATGTGCTTGAAAGCACTCGACCTGAGTTCGATTCCGCCTTTTGCAGAACTCTCTCTTCTCCCTTTTCCCACATATAGATGTAAAATGTATAACCTAACATAAATGGCTCTAGTGTTATATTTTGCCAACAAACTAAAATCGAATCTATGATATGTGCCTATATAAAACAGCACAAGACTTTAAGAATAGGCATCCAATTTTGCTGGGTGATTTAAAGAAAAGTGTGCACTTTGCTCACGCGATAAGCATGGTTATATCTGGTATTTTCTCCTATGGGCTCTATGCACGGCGTTATTTCCGGTGAAGGTGTAAGGATGCTCGATAACTTCCGCCGATCGCAGAGTCCAATGCAATACCGAGAATTTATATTGAATTTTATACTCCATGGTTATACTAATGAAACGTTAGTCACAAAAACAGATAAAACAGACACCCCTCGTTGTGTTTATGCTTCTTTTTAAAATTATATTAAATAAACATAACTATATATAAAATTACATCTAAACGTATGTACGTTTCGTTTCAAAGACGGGAGGACAGTAAATATTGAAGACTCTGCCATAATCCAGTTTTCTCCGGTTTTCCTCCGCTTTAATCTACACAACCGGAAATGGACGAGCATCCTTACGTCAAATGCGGAACTTATGCGTGCATATAGCCCATATACAAGCTTAAGGGTTTATTTCTTGCAAGTTTAGAAATATGACAAAAGTATTTTAATTTTCCTATAGTATAATGTTGACTAAAATATACTTTTGAAATGTTCATTTTCACATATAGTACATTTATAGGCTATATGGATTTTACATCATAGGAATAATTATATAAATCATTTTTACATTTATTATAATAATTGTTTGGCATCCTAAAAAACCATTGATAATGTAATGCAGACTGAGACTCATAATTAAAAAGATGCTTGAGCCCTGTTTATTGTCCTGGTACAAATCAATGCTTTTTCTTTGTTCAATGAGCAGTTCATGGGTTGAAGCTCTTAATTTTGATCTCTCAAAGAGCACGAGATTGATGCATTTAACCTTAAAATTTACAAAATTTTCTAGCGGGGGAGCATGCCCCCGAACCCCCCTAGAGGAACAGAGTCCACCCAACATAGTTTTACAAATTTGTTAATATCTTTAATAAACTACCAATGAAAATTAGCTCTTTTAGCTAACTCGCGTACATTTTCATTTTTCTAATATTGATTAATGTGTACACTGTTCCCCTTACAAATAAGCAAATAAATAAAATGAAGAGAGAGAGGGAGCGTATATTGGTGTAAAATGTGGGTGGTGGCAGTGGGGTCACTGGGTGCTCAGCACCCCTAAAGCTCTGACCCTAGAATCGCCCCTGCTAAATAGTATGTGACATTAGTAACTGTCAGCACTGTTGAGCGTGCAGTCTCGGCTCTCGACTCGGACACACACACTCGGTCCGGCACCTCATAGACAGACGTGCACGGAGGGGACTTGTGTGTGTGTGTGCGACGAGTTTCTTAACTTTTTCGCCGACGAAAGCAGAGCCGTGGAGAGCCGCTTCGCCGTGCTTTCAGTGGAAACGCGGCTATTGTTTTGATGCTCATGAGCTGAATGACGGGAGGGGTTGTGTCGCACAGATTTGCTTCCCCGTCTCTCTGCATACGCTCTTCTCCCACACAAAAAAACAATTTCATTCCAAATATGTAAAATGCCACGAAATTCCGCATTAATACTAGATTCCGTGTTAATTGGCCAATTCCGCGATTCCGTGATCACGGAAATTATAGGGCCCTACATCTGGACCTTTGACCCGTTGGACCCCATTGGAGAAACATCCTGTTCCTCAAAAACCTTCATTTCTATCCCACTGAAGGAAGAGAGACGTGATCATCTCGGAGGACGAGGGGGAGAGTGAATCATCGTTCTGAAGTGAACTCCTCCTGTAAGCCTGATCCCAGTACAGCACCAGTGTGAGTGTTCCTCTAGTGAGAGAGAAATATACTCACATCTTGAACTCTGGGAACTGTTGGTACTTGGAGAACTCGTTTTCCCACTCGGCTGGAGTCTGTGGCGGCTTCATCTCTTTCACCAGATGCCAGTCAACCATCGACAGACCAGACTCCGTCAACCTGAGCGAGCAGAAACATGTTTCACACACACACACACACACACACACACACGCATGTTAACCTGTTATCAGCCATGACAGTCACATTGAACCACGATCCTCTGCTATAGATGATCCTTTTCAATATTCTGTCTGTCGACACGTAATAATCGATCTCTTGCTCATGAAAATATGAAAGAGATTCTGATCTAATAAATGCCCAAACTCAAGACAATTATATACAGTCAAACCAAAAATTATTCAGACACTAGATTTAATTTTTTAAATCTAATCTTTACTAGTGTGATCAGGACACTATAGTTCATTTATATAAGTGAGGAGAGCAGAATAAACTAAACTGTGACCTAATAAAAACTGTGGGCGAGTCAGGGGTGTTCAGTACTGGAATGTGGGCGGAGTCAGGGTGTTCAGTACTGAAATGTGGGCGGAGTCAGGGTGTTCACTAACAGTTTATCGCTGCCAAGGTGTTTCAAATACCTTTCAAAGAACGACAACTTCACCATGAGAATATCTCAGCCTGTAATCAACTAAATATTAAACGACTGAATACAATCACTGTTTGAGATTATAAAGTATGTTTGGGATGTAAAAGTAATAATAAAGTAATAATTGTTAGTTCTGTGTTTTTACCTGGTAACGCCTCCCAGAACCACAGCGCCCAAAACCAGTCCACTGCATCCCAGCAGCCAGCGGCCAATCACACGATCCGACGCCGCGTTGGGGAGCGCCGCGCTTCTGACCGACACACTCTCTGTGGTCACGGTGGTCTGTCTTCTCTTCACCAGCCATTGCCTCAAAGGGGTTCGCTATCGGCAATAAACATACATTTCAATGAATGACTGACATACGGTGGTGCATAAAAGTATCCAATCGTCACGCTTAAGGAAACTTAGACATCTTTAAAAGAGGACGTTTTATTCCCTTTTATAGTGTTTCAGGCTCTACTAGAACAGGTTTTCCTGCTTGAATGTTGATTATTCTCCTCATATTCTCCATTGCTGCGGCTCCTCTCTTCCCAGTCTGTCAGTAACGCTCTGTTTACTTCCTGTCTCTATGAAGCCCCTCCTACAGAAAGGCACACTGTGCTCTGATTGGTCAGCTGGAGCAGTGTGCTGTGATTGGTCAAGCGCTTTGTGTGTGTTAAACTGGCAACCACCAGTTTAACACATTAACTAATTCAACCAGGCCCCGCCCCTTTATTGCGCTATTTATTATTATAATGAGGAATATTGTGACGTGTTCATTCCCGGAAAAACTCAAGACTACAATGGAGGCGTTTCAAGAGTTCAAAATAACTCCCACTGGAGGGACACTGAAACACTGACATAGTGTCAACTTTAAAATGTGTTATTTTAAAGTTATTTGATTTTATTTACTCAAAACTGCTCTATGTCAGTGTCAGTGTTTCAGTGTCCCTCCAGTGGGAGTTATTTTGAACTCCTGAAACGCCTCCATTGTAGTCTTAAGTTTATATATATATATATATATATATATATATATATATATATATATATATACAGAATTCATCTTCATATTACTTTATTTTAAAGAATTTTAGTACTTCGGGTCATTTTGTATACTTCTACATAATGTTACTAATTTTCTAAAATAATCGAGCAATGTCTGATATGTGCATACCGAGGGACATTTCTGAAATGTGTACAGTAGTTAAGTTAAATTGAGCTGGATCTCCATTCAGAGCATCGAGGTCATCATCATGATGATATGTAATTCGCTGCTGTCATAATAAATATATCCATGTGTCTTACTTGTATCTGCTGCCAGTTCCTCCACGCAGTTTGACAGCGACACGACACGCCAAGCCTGAGGACTGGGAGCACCATGATCTCGAGCTCCGATAAACGCGTCTTCTTATGATTATTTATTATTACAAAACTAGTCATGTAACATATCGGTAACTCACTGCTCGCTCTCTTCTTCTTCTTCAGGTTGTGTTGACCGCTTCCTCCTCAGAGGAGTTAGCGCCCCCTGCTGTACAGAAGGGAGAATCACGCGCTTCTCTGTGTAGGACATAAAGGGAGAGAGAGACAGAAAGAGAGAGAGAGAGAGAGAGAGAGAGAGAGAGAGAGAGATTTATAATTTATAATCTGTTACACAGTTATTTTTTGCAATTAATTTAATTTGTACATTTCAATTTAAGTTGTTATAATACTTTGTTTTTATTGATGTCTTTACTATGCTATGTGTTACAAGCTTTGGCAATATTGTAATATGTACAGTCATGCCAATAAAGCAATTTGAATTGAATTGAATTGAATTGAGAGAGAGGCTCTCTCCCGTGAGGACAGACTCTGCCCGCACTGCACCCTGGGAGTGACGGAGACCGAGCTGCACTTCCTCACAGAATGCCCAAAATATAAACACATCAGAGACCATTATTACCCCAAAATTAATAACATATTTCCCCAATTTAACACCTGTAACCCAACCCAATTTCAAGCCAAATGCTCAAATATAGCTGCAAAATTTGTAGCATCCTGTCACACCCTAAGGGACGACCAGAAACCAGCAAACACCCAATAAACACACTCTCACTCGCAGCAGTCGACCTACGCACATGTATAATGTTCAATATTGTTTGTTTTTAATATAGATGATTTCTAAATCCTTTATATTTTATTAATTAATCGTTGTTTATTTTATAATTATTGTTTATCAGTATTATTATTTTTGTGTACTAAATGTTCTAAATCATTTTCTATGTTGTTTTGATGCTTTGGCAATACAAAATGTATTTTTTTGTCATGCCAATAAAGCATTCTGAATTGAATTGTGTGTTCATGTTTATATTACATTGTGTGGATCTAATGTCCCCACATAGTAAAAACTGAAATCACCTATTGTGGGGTCCAGCCAGTGGTCCCCATGAGGAAAACAGTGTAAATGGGGATAGAATATACAGTTAGTACAGTATAAAAACCATTACGCCTGTGTGTGTGTGATGGAGAAAGAACATCCTCAATCACTCCACTGTTACACAAACACTATGGGAATAAGTGCTAAATGTGGTTCTAATTCTTGACTCAATTTTGAAGAACATTTTATGTTAAAAACAATCCATTTATTTTTAAAAAATTGTAGCATTTATAACATAAAAATGAATTCAAACTAAATCCATAAAATGATCCCATGATGGGAACGGTTAAAATGATTTATATACAAAGATCCTAATCTGATTCATGTTCTCTCTTTTTATTTGAAAACAGCAAAACTGACATGGGCTTTATATAAATATACAGGCATACACAAAATGCAAAATTTAATAAACTTTATTGGCACAGCATAAACCCATGTCAAACAACACATTAGCAAAAAACAACAGGATAACAAACAAACAGTGCTAAAAATCTTTCACATTCAGAGGTCTAAAGAGACACGTTCAGATCCCAGCATCCTTCGCCATCGAGTAGAAGTGTCCCTGTTTGTGGAGCAGAGTACTGGGCGAATCAAACTCCACGATCTTCCCAGAGTCCAGGACCATCACCCTAAACACACACCAGAGGAGATTGTGCGTCTTTAGTTTAGATTTCACATGCATTTAATGTATTTAAAATATGGAGATATAATCCATTTATATAAGATACAGTCAAACCAAAAATTATTCAGACACCAGATTTTATTTTTATATTTGTTTTACTAGTGTGTGATCAGGACACTATACTTCATTTATGTAAGTGAGGAGAGCAAAATAAATCAAACTGTGACATATTACGCCCAAATATTCTTCATACAGTGACTACCAGTGACATTTATAAACATTTGGGAGCAAAAATCGAATGCATCCGTCCTGGAACTGGCTTGCAGCGATCGACCTGAAGGACGCGTACTTTCATGTCTCGACTCTCCCTCGACACAGTGCTGTGGTGACAGATGCCTCTGCCATCGGCTCGGGTGCCACGTACAACGGGCATGCAGTGACATTACTGAATGAATCAGTGTTTTTGAACGAATCTCTTGAACTAATCATTCAATGACTGACTCAATAAGTCTTCACTTGCTTCATTACTGGATGAATCTGTGTTTTCGAACAAATCTCTTGAATGAATTATTCAATGACTCACTCAATATGTCTTTCTTCGCTTCATTACTGGATGAATCAGTGTTTTAGAACGAATCTCTTGAATAAATCATTCAATGACTGACTCAATATGTATTCACTTCCTTCATTACTGGATAAATCTGTGTTTTAGAACGAATCTCTTGAATGAATCATTCAATGACTGACTCAATATGTCTTCACTTCCTTCATTACTGGATGAATCTGTGTTTTCGAACAAATCTATTGAATGAATTATTCAATGACTGACTCAATATGTCTTCACTTCCTTCATTACTGGATAAATCTGTGTTTTAGAACGAATCTCTTGAATGAATCATTCAATGACTGACTCAATATGTCTTCACTTCCTTCATTACTGGATGAATCTGTGTTTTCGAACAAATCTATTGAATGAATTATTCAATGACTGACTCAGTATGTCTTTCTTTGCTTCATTACTGGATGAATCAGTGTTTTTGAACGAATCACTTGAATTAATTATTCAATGACTCATTTAATAAGTCTTCACTTGCTTCGTTACTGGATGAATCAGTGTTTTTGAACGAATCGCTTGAATTAATTATTCAATGACTCATTTAATAAGTCTTCACTTGCTTCATTACTGGATGAATCTGGGTTTAACAAATCGCTTGAATGAATCATTCAATGACTCACTCAAGTATTCACTTGCTTCCTTACTGGATGAATCTGTGTTTTTGAACAAATCTCTTGAATGAATCATTCAATAACTCACTCAATACAACTTCACTTGCTTCCTTACTGGATGAATCTGGGTTTTTGAACAAATCTCTTAATGAATGAATGACTCTATAAATAAAATGGACTCACCGTGAACTGTCCAGAATGGTGTTGAGCCGGTGTGCGATGGTGAGCACAGTACAGTGGGAAAACTCCCTGCGGATGGTGCTCTGGATGAGATCGTCCGTCTCCAGATCCACGGCTGCGGTGGCTTCATCCAGGATGAGTATACGGGATTTCCTGAGCAAGGCTCGGGCTAAACACAGCAGCTGTCTCTGACCAAGACTAGTGGAAATACATAAACATGGCAAGATCAGAAACTAGACTTAACACGTTTTCCTGCTTGAATGTTGATTCTTCATTGTTGCGGCTCCTCTCTTCCCAGTCTGTCAGTAACGCTCTGTTTACTTCCTGTCTCTATGAAGCCCCTCCTTCTGAAAAGCAACCAGGTCCCGCTCCTTTATTCTGCGTATGAATTATTATAATGAGGAAAATTGTGACGTGTTTGTTCCCGGAAGAAACTCAAGCCTACAGTGGTAGTAGTACATATAATACAATCTATAATAGGATGAGCTACTTCTACTTCAAAAGGCCTGACCAAAGAAGACACACTAGGATGAGCTGTAGCTGACTCGTGCTACGACTTCTATAATCTAAACAAACTGAAAAGTATCAGTATTACTATGAATCACCACATTTTTGAATTACCTCAAGATGCACTCATTTGAATGACTGTATGTACATTCAAAGCACGTGTTCGATGCATATGAACATGTTAATCCAGCTCACGAACCTTAAGTTCTCTCCCCCCTCCGAGACCTCGTGCTGAAGTCCTGCCGGCAATCCCCGCACATAATCTTTCAGATGAGCCAACTCCAGAACGCTCCATATTTCCTCATCGCTGAACTTCAGGAACGGGTCCAGGTTCATCCGCAGAGTTCCAGAGAACAGAACTGGGTCCTAGAATAAAGCATTCGTTTGTTAGCATTGCGGGAAAATCTCAGATGTTTTCTGTTTTCCAATAAATGTATTTGTTTATGTTTGTCCCAAATGCTTTTTTTTTACAACATTACGTTTAAAATTCACCAATCAGTTTGATTTAAATGATTTGAATGATTTAATTCCGACTGAAACCAAAGGTGTGCATGTAAACGTAGGTACTAGATTCCCCAATGATTTTGCAAATTTAAGCCAAGATACGATTTATGAACAACAGCAATGCAGATATTTTTGTAATGCATTCAATATTTCATCACACCTGTGGAATGATGGTAAGTCTACTCCTGAGATCATGAAGCCCCAGGGTGGAGATGTCGATGCCGTCGATGATGATTCGACCTTCACTGGCTTCAATGATGCGAAACAAACAGTTGGTCAGACTGGATTTGCCTGCACCAGTTCGACCAACAATGCCAATCTGGGAAAAGAAGGGAAACAGGAAAAAATATATGGTTACCAACATTCTTTAAAATATCTTATTTTGTGTTCAACAGAAGAAAGAAACTCGTACAGGTTTGGAACAACTTGAGGGCGTGTAAATGATGACAGAAAGGACATTTTTGGGTGACATTTACCTGTGTAATGTGCAGATAAATTCTAGAGATGACAAACTGAGTTGGATTTGTTTGACCTTTTCTGAAACTCCGGGTACGTTTACATGATAACGATACGCTTAAAATGGAGAAGTGTTTCCCGTATAGACGACACCATCGTCAAAACGATCCCCATTCACTCGGACCCGCGAAAACGACTAAAAACACTGTAGACTGTATTCTGCTGCCAGTCCTGCAGATGGCCATGAAACACTATAGACTGAACACTAATACGCTGTACATGACATCATCGTCTTCGTTTTGGTTGTTTACATGGAGACTGTTTTCAAAAACTGGGAGAGAGAGAGAGAGAGTGAACCAATCAGCAGTAGGGCGTGTGAGGTTTGGATAGAGGGTTGAGTGATTAATCAAAGTTTAACTTAATAAAAATATATATATTCCATGTTAAACCGTGTTATATTTCATCTGCAATAACAATGTTGACAGTAGGTCAGCAGTAGGGGGCGTGTCTACTCATGATGGGGGAGGAGATAGTGAAGCAATCAGCTGTAGGGGGCGTGTCCCTCATGATTGGGGAGGAGATAGTGAACCAATCAGAAGTAGGGGG